CAGGAAGAGGCTAAATAATCAAATGTGATTGGCTGTCAACACGTGGCCATCAGACCCGGCCCTGAGGTAGTCAGACAGAAACAGGGAAACCCCATTGGATCCTACTGAAGGTGTAAAAACATCTATAAAGTAAATATAGTATAGTATTTTTCCAAAGACTCAGCAATTTCCCTATAACAGATATTTTTATCAAACAAACAGAAGGAAATAATGCATTTGTTAAGGACTATTTTCAGCAGCAGATTAATCCTCATTTGTTGCTCTAGTCAGTATTTGTTGCCAGTATGTAGTCAGTCAGTAGTCAGTATGTATGTGCTATGCCTTAAAATGCAATGTGTTCTCAAGATTATAACCAGAAAAACGTACTATGTTTACTAATATTTTACCTTTATTCCCAGTCCTGTAAACAGTATATTCCACTTTGCCATTTGGCACAGAGGAAGAAGATATATCCGTCTTTGATACACACACAATATTTGTTAGCAGATACATTCACTGTTTTTGTCACGGTAGAGCGAAGGAAGCAGGACCCAAATTACATTACATTACATGACATTGCATTTAGCTGACGCTTTTATCCAAAGCGACTTACAATAAGTACGTTCGTCCAACAAAATACAACTTGAAGAAAACAGAATCATATAAGTACATCAGGTTTCATAGAGCCAAAACATTTCAAGTGCTACTCAACTGGCTTTAGAAAAGCCAGTCCTTTATTAGTATATAAGTGCTTTGTTAATAATTCTATCGCTCGAAGTGGAGCAGATTAAACTGATATACCTTTATTTCAAGGATAACGAAATAGAACTTGGACAGACAGAACACTCACCGGTGAACACAGTCAACAACAAAAGACGAACCGACAAAGACAGACAGAAAAACCAGAACTTAAATACACACAAGACTAATCACACAAACAAGACACAGGTGAGGAGGGAGGAGAAAACACAGGGGCCACAGGTGAACACAATCGGGTAATCAGACACACCAGGGAAACTAACGACAGGGAACCACAGACAGATCCAAACAAGACAAAACACAACGCAGACAGAAAACCAAAAACAGATCTAGACAAGACAAAACACCAGAAAGACAGATCGTGACAGTTTGAATCTTAACATGAAGAAATCACATCATCCTTTAAACTGTCAACTTCTGTTCTGACTTTTATATCCGGAGTGAAAACTAAAATAAACTCATCACAACAGTTTTTTTTCTCCTTTGTGATATGAAAAGAACCGATCCATCTAAACAAGGCCGTTCATTTCTTACTGACGTGATTTCACACATTCTGACAGCAAAACCATTTATTTTCACATCAGGGGGGAAAAAACAAACTCCTGCTAACACGAGCAAAAGAAAATCATAGATGCATGTTAGGAATGATACAAATAAAACCACTCATCCTGTCAGTCCCAATTAAATAATATATATACAAATCTTTACTATTTTTTAGTCCTTTCAAAATAAACGACCTAGTTATTTTTGACATATTCTAAAATAAGAATCTCTCGTAAATTTGAATTTGAAAAATATCCATCCATCTTCTCCCGCTTATCCGTGGTCGGGTCTCGGAGGTAGCAGTTCCAGCAGAGAGCCCCAAACGTTTCCCCTCATCAACCAGCTCTGACTGGGGGATCCCAAGGCGCTCCCAGGCCAGCGAAGAGATATAATCCCTCCACCTGGTCCTAGGTCTACCCCTCGGTTTCTTCCCAGCTGGACGTGCCTGGAACACCTCCCTAGGGAGGCGCCCAGGTGGCATCCTTACTAGGTGCCCGAACCACCTCAACTGGCTCCTTTCGACGCGAAGGAGGAGCGGTTCAACTCCGAGTCCCTCCCTGATGACTGAACTTCTCACCTTATCCCTAAGGGAGACACCAGCCACCCTGCGGAGAAAACCCATCTCGGCCGCTTGTATCCGCGATCTCGTTCTTTCGGTCATGACCCATCCTTCATGACCATAGGTGAGGGTAGGAACGAAAATGGCCCGGTAGACAGAGAGCTTTGCCTTCTGGCTCAGCTCCCTTTTCATCACAACGGTGCGGTAAAGCGACTGCAGTACCGCTCCCGCTGCTCCGATTCTCCGGCCCATCTCACGCTCCATTATTCCCTCACTCGAGAACAAGACCCAGAGACACTTGAACTCCTTCACTTAAAATATATTAAATAATAATTTCCTGGCAGAAATGGGTTGCTATTAAACTCAGGTCTTTAAAAATATATATATTTATCATGTCTCCATGCTTTAATGTTCTAAAAGCTCTTTATTTCTCTCATACTGCCTGTGCTGCAGCACCTCTTTTCACCCTCTGTCTGAAACCAGAGCCCAGTCTGCTCTGATTGGTTACCTGGCCGGCTCTGTTGTGATTGGTCAACCTGCTTAGAGATGTCCCGCCCCTTACCCTATCACATGTGTTGGAGCGCTAGCCAATAGAAGTGCGAGTGTTGCACAGTGATGTCACTATGTTCCAGAAGTAAACAAAGGAGTACAATGGAGACGTTTTAGACCCCATTTACACGCACACGAAAGGCAATCGAACCGAATACGATATCAAAAAAGTATTCCGTTCACACGAGACCGCTCGGGAGCGCTGGAGACGCTGTAGTACTTATGCCCGGCCTGTAAGTGGCGCTGTACTTTCGCCACAAAAGCAGCGAAGAAGACCCCCGAGCATGGTTGCCATGGTTGCCCTTCTGTTTACGCCCCGTGGTGGATTTAGCAACATGTAGGTCATGTAATTCTCCATGCCCACTTGTTGCTGATGGTTGTGGTAGAGGAGCTGTAGATGTTGCACTAACATCTGTAGCATGGTCAGTAGCGTCTGACAGTAGCTACTGACCATGCTGCAGCAGTGAGCAGCAGAGGTGGGGAGAGGCGGGGCTATGGCTTCATCGTTATCAGGAAATGATCGTATAGGGCGTAGACACCAGCCAGAGCGTTCCGTTTGCAGATCTATCCACCTTGGGACCTCGTTTGCGGGGTCCGTTTCTGTTACGGCCTCGTGTGAACGAACGGGCTATATGAAAGAGAAAAGTAGGGGATACAACCGTTTGCGTTCTCATGTAAACAGCACCTCAGCCTCTGGAGGAACACAGGGATTTTAGCCTCTGCAGACCATTTACATGCATTAAAACCTACAGAACACACTACAGAAAACGAAGAATAACAGGGCCTCTTTAAAAACCAGATTAAAAACCTTTAATAAATGTGTTTTCACCTCATAGGATTTGTTCCTGTGTGTAACTAATATCAAAATAAGTGTCTTTATATCTGCTTACAACACATTTTAGTGTGTATTACTGTAAATACACTGCTTATTAAAATAGTGCAGCAGCTCACAGTATGATCGGGATTAGCTGTACAACAGGGAGGAATATAAAATATGCGTGCAGAGTTTAATCCCCGAGCAAACAAAGGTTAAAATAACTCCTCACACAGCTGATGTGTGACGGCCGCTGTTTGTTGTTTGTCTCCTCCTCTTCATTTCCTGCTGGAAAATCAGGCCGTTCTTCTTCTTCTTTTTCTTCTGCAGCAGAATCTCATTAAAGAGAGCCTCGGGGTAAAGCGCTTTAAATCCGCTGTCAAACAGGAAACATGCGAGACGGAGTGTTTTCTATACTCGTGTACAATTTAATTTGTGAGGATTGTTTTTGTTGTAGATGAGCCAGAGGTGGATTTGTTTTCACTGCTGTTGCTGCAGCTCTTTTCAGGACGGTTGCATTATATTATATATATATATATATTATATTAGTTCTTACTGTTGCATTAGTTCTCACTGTTGCATTAGTTCTCACTGTTGCATTAGTTCTCACTGTTGCATTAGTTCTCACTGTTGCATTAGTTCTCACTGTTGCATGCTTCCTGCGTTAATCTGTGCAGGTCAATGGAGGCAAGGCAGGGTTACAGGTCCTTTTCTCTGCAGCTCAAATTAAATGGAGAGGAACATTCCAGCTGAATTTGAGCATGTTTTGTTTATTTTACATTTCTCAAAAAACCTGCAAGCAGAATATCAAAGGACAAGCAATCAGCCTAATGGACTCTGCACTAGTTATTTTACATTTTCTTTCATTGTCTATTCTGTTTTTACGACAATACTAAGACAAGTCAAAATAATAGATTGTTCAATAGAACATGACATAACGAAATATGTCAACATGTGTCTCAATGTAATGTTGGTTAATCCCTCAATGTGGGTCAGAACTGATCTCTGGAAAATGAAATCGATTGTCAATACATTTGGTATTTATTCAGGTTTCCAAGGGGATGAATCATACTGGGCTCTGTTGGATTATTATTGTAATGTCCTTAATCATGCATATTTATTTGAGCAAACTCCACCTGCGAATGAAGGTCATGAGATGTGGCAAAAAGTATTGAAGAAAATAATTTTAAAAAAAAACTGATTTCATAACTTTGTAACCAGTTTATCCTTTAATGTGTTTTTTTCCCCTCAACACTTTAATAGGATTCGTTCCTGTGTGTAACTGATAAACATAAGACTGAAATATCTCTGGAATAATAAGGGATTGTCACGAAATGTGGTAAAACATTCATGTTCAGGATGAATCTTACTCATGTTGTTGCTCAAGCTAACAGGAGCTAGCTGGCTAACAGAGTGCCACAGTGACGCGTCCTAAAACCCGGAAGTAAGTTAGCATTTTACCCCTTCCGGTGGTATACAACCATCTTATCGATAGATTTATGATCGATAGATTTATGATTCGAAAATGATAAAAGTAGGGTAGACATGTGGAGATTATCCGGCTGAATAAAACGTGATCTGTCTCTTAAATGTGTCTCAACCACAGACCTTATTTCGAGCTATCTTCCAAAATCCTATGGAGAAATTGCATTGGTTTTTGTCGAAGGAACCGGAAGGAGTTTACTTCCGGGTTTTAGGACGCTATTGTGTTAGCTGTTGCTAAGCTTGCTAAGGCTGCATTCATACCAGATCAGACGCCAATAAACTGTATATATAATAAGTGTTTCTCTCCCACAGGTTTCTACATGTACATCGAGACGTCGAGGCCGAGGCTGGAGGGGGACGCGGCCCGGCTGCTGTCTCCCACCTTCAACATGAACTCCAAAACCTCCTCCTCCTCCCCGGTCACCACCAACCCCACCTACTGCTTCTCCTTCTACTACCACATGTACGGGAAACACATCGGTAAGTCTGCAGCACGGTCTGTCTCAGGTACGCGGTATAATACATAATACAGCGGTTATGTGACCATGTCTTCGGTGAGAAGCCAGAAATAAGGTCTGTGGTTAACAAAAGCGGAAAATATATTTACATTTTGTTAGGGAAATAATTGTCCTAGACTCCTAGATATGACGTACAGGACCAACCCTGACGTCTGTTTATCTCCTTTAAGGACATAGGCTGCTTCAGCCATATGTTGTTGTTCCCATTCTGTGACCGGTCAACACTAGGTCACAGATGGTCTGTTGTTGTGGGTGCACTGGGACACTTCCTTCTTTGTTGTTTGTGGACTCCAAGGTATGACATATTCGAGGCCATAAATTACGGACGCAAGTAACTCAGTGTGCCCAAACTGTCTAAAGCTGTCTTATCAAAACATGTTGATGACTCTCTGTGAAACCAGTTAAATGGGCTAACAAGAGAGAGGCGCGCTAGAATTGACGTGGCAACTCTACCGTGAAGTCAGAACCTCTGGCTCTTGGACTTGTGATGTGAATTCTCCGGCCGAAACTCCAAATAAACCATCAGTGTTTGACATCAAAGCTCCTGCTCCACCGTGTCTCCTTCCTGAGTCGGTGACTCCCACTGCATTGCTACACAGAAGTTTCCCTTACACATTTTATTCTAAAAAACTAAATATTTCAGTCAATACCCCACTGGTGAATTTAAAAACAGCAGCTGCTAACAAGTGACTAAATGAGACGACTACATTTCATCACGCCTTTAGCTTAGCGGTGGTGACGTGAAGTCATGTGACTGTGCTGAAGTTTGTCTATTAGCTTTTAGCTTCTGGTGCTTCGTGGCATTAATATGTGGGGATTATCCTGCTCAACAAAACGTGTAAGTAACATAAACGTTTTTTTCAGATGTTCTTTTCTGCAATATTCCGAAATCCAATGGAAATTCCCATTGGCTATTTGTCGAGGGAACCCTTAAAGGTGGGGTAGGTACGTTTCAGAAACCGGCTCGAGTGCACTAAAATTTGAAAGTAAACAGCCGAAAAGAATCCGCCCCTTCCTTCAGACTTCCTTACAGAGCACCTCCTCCAACACACATGAACGCGCAATGCACGCCCAATGACGGCACGCCCAATGACGGCACGAGATACATTTGTGCGTGCACGAGATGGAAGGCTGACAGACCGGATTGGTTGTACGTTTTACGGCTTCCACAGATGACATTTTTTTATGGATTTGTTGTCAAAGCACTTAAGATACTTAAGACTACTCTTAAACAAATGTGTATTTCGGTAGTTGGTGTACAATTGTGGAATTCTCAACACAAGGATCTAAAGAATTGTATTTGTATTTTTCAGTTAAAGAAGTTGTATAAATGAAGAAAGATGGGACTATATGAAGCAGAATGTGAATAAGTCTATGTACTCTGGTCCTTCATGTTTTTGATGTCTTTGATGTGATGTCTCCTCTGTATTTGCGGGTGCCATTGCCATTGTTATTGTTGTTATTGTTATTATCATCATGTGTCGCTTTCCACCTTCTTCTCCAGTAGGACTCAGATGAGGGTGTTGCACTTTTCTTTTCCTTATACATGTGATGTTTTGGTGTTTTGTTTCTTTCCGTTGACCATCAAGTGGGAAATAAGTTTTTTTTTTGTGTGTTTCTCTTAGCATCCTAAGATACTGTTATGTTTGGCTGTGAAAAAAAAAAAATTATTATTATGAAGGGCAGACCATCTATTTGTATTTATTTGGTTTTTTTAGAAAGGGGCAGGTCACATAAGATTTTATTCTTCTCCCTGCTCCTTTTCGCTCAATGGTAGAGTCATGTTTTGTGGCAATTATTGTACATTTGGTTTTGCGTACCGTGAGCGGGACAAATAAAAATGAAATGAAATGAAATATTCATTGCTATCGGGATGTTAAGAGCATTCCATGGAATATAACAAAAAGTGTATCTCGAGCCGGTTTCGGAAACGTACCTACTCCACCTTTAAGATGCTTACTTCCAGGTCGCCCTAAAGACATACGTCATCAATGCACAGCCATATGTCATGTCATATACACCCAAATCAGATTTTTCACAAATTCAGATCTCTCTTCAATCGGATTTTAATATCTTACAGGACTGGCTATCACACAATTAACAAAACAAAATCTTATACCATGGTCTTTGGTACCAAGCAGAAGCTCAAATCCAAACCTAATGTAGTAATAACATGTAAGGATGGCACTTCTCTGCATAAAGTTGATAGCTTTAAATATCTTGGTGTGAAGGGTTATGGCGCTGAGCTGAGAGGCTGACACTCCCCAGCACGGTTGCAATTCCTACTAAAATCCTATTCTAATTACTCGGAACCCACCATCGGCTCTCGGGCCCTAAACTTGCTAATGGCCCGCCTAGACCACTGATCATCAAGTTCCTTAATTACAAGGATAAAGTCTTCGTTCAGAATGCTGCAAGACAAATGGGTAAAATATTCTACAAAGATCGCCAAGTGATGCTGTTCCCGGACGTCTCTGCAGAGCTGCATAAACAACGGAGGAGATTCGATGGAGTTAAACGGAGGCTGCGGGAGATGGACGTCCAATATGGAATAGTTTTCCCGGCGCGACTGAGGGTCACACACGGCCGATCTTACTTTTTTGACAACCCCTCGGACACGGAGAACTTCATCAAGGACATACAGAAGAAATAAGACGGCGTGAACACTAACTAAACATGATTTACGGACGTAAACCAAAATATGTTAAAAGGAGAAGCGTTTGACTAATGACTCGGAAGCGGCCGGGCGATTACAGGCGGACAGCCGGCAATGAGACATACACAGGTGGGAGGTGACGGGGCGGCTTGCCCCTACTGTACCTTACCTATATTCTTTCCTGATAAATAATTGTTTTGGCTGTTTTGTCTAAACCGAGTTTGAAATTAACCACATGAACACCGCTTATATATATGTGAGTTTTGGAGCGGGTGCCCCAATAATAATTTACGTTTTTACGATTGCCAGTGTACAAGGCAACACAGGCAAGCTCTCCATGTTTTCAATGTGTCTCTTTCTTTGCTTTGGGAGTCAAGGGGGGTGTTTTTATTGGTAAATTATACAACGCTTCCATTGGTTGGAATATAATTCTGATTTGAATTCAAGCTATTCACTGTTAACCTTAATGTTAAAAGTTTACAATATTTGTGCTTGCAAAAGTTAGGAATCGGGTAATGTTGCTGTTATCGTGAACAAATGGCACTTTTGGTGTTTGGGAAAGAGATGGGAGGGGGGCTGTATTTGTGTGGGTTCTGAAAGTGTTAATCTGTAACACGTTGCAGGGGGAGGGTGAAAGAGGGGACAAAGGACAGCCCACTACACCGTGTGCAGGTCTGGTGGTAGGTTGGTCATGTCGGAGGTGGTAAGAGGGAGGGGAGATTTTTCTGTAGATCTCAGGGGGAAATGTATGTTAGAGGGTTGGGGTTTTATGTGTACTTATGTGTTGGAATATATGTCTTTTTACACGTATTTTGTTAGGGCAGCATCGTTTATCCACTCACCAGTACAGTCACTGAACAACCTATATAACACAATATATGTTCGATCGAGGTATGTCTAAATCTATGAAGGTTAAGGTTAGAGTACATCTTGGAATTGCAGGGGCTTGGGTAAATTAACTAAAGTGAAGCAGGTACTTAGTAGACTGAAACAAAAACACTCACACATAGTTTTCCTGCAGGAATCTCATATGATGCAGTGTGATTTGTCTAAAGTCAAAAAAAGATGACAAGGCCAAGTGTTTTCAGCCTCCTATAGTTCACATGCCAGAGGAGTTTTAACCCTAATTCACAAGTCAATCCCATTTCAAGTAGTAAATTCAATAATTGAGCCCAAGGGCAGGTACATTATACTTCAGGGCATATTACTGTACGAGAAACTTAATTTAGTGAATGTTTACGGCCCCAACGAAGATGACCCCGCATTTTTGGATAATTTATTCTTAACCTTATCAACGCTCCCAGGTAATTTCATTGTAGGAGGCGATTTTAATGTGGCCCTGAACCCACAAATAGACAAATCTACTGGATCGGACACGTCCCATATTAGAGCTAGAAAATCTATATTAAATTTTATGAAGGATTTGAACTTATCAGAAATCTGGCGGGAACTGAACCCAAACAATATAGAATATTCTTGTCACTCTAGCACACATAAAACCTATTCACGGATAGATTACTTTCTAATATCAACACAGATAAGATATCAAATTAAAGACTGCAACTATGATGCCATAGTGTTATCTGATCATGCCCCGATATCTTTTACATATGAAGATTCTAAACTGGTTAATAGCCCTCCGAGATGGCGTTTTCATATAAACTGGCTACAGGACCCGGCTTTTATAGACTTTATTGGGAAACAAATAGATATGTTTTTTTAAATGAACACAAGTCAGACCTCGGCTTGTATCAGATGGGAAGCTTTTAAAGCCTTCTTGAGAGGACAGATTATAAGATTTACGTCTCCTAAATTAAAACGCATCCGTCAAAAACTGGAAGAGCTGGATTATAAAATTAAAGTGCTAGAGAAAGACAAGTTTATGGATAGCTCAGAAAACCCACATCAGGAACTATTACTTCTTAAGGCTGAATACAATAAAATATCTGCTGAGAGGGCTGCAAATAGCTTGTTGAAGCTTAAACATAATTGTTATGATCAGGGAGAAAAACCAGGTAGACTTCTGGCCTGGAGAATTAAACAGCTACAATCAGAAAGAGCTATCAATGCAATCGAAAATTCTAAGGGAGATGTGACTGTGGATCCTGAAGAAATAAATGTAACCTTTAGACAATTCTATGAAACGTTATATTCCTCAGAATATCCGCCTAATTCGGAGGCTCAAACTTCATTTTTGGATAATTGAAAATTCCCAAGTGTCTCAAATGAAGAAAAAATCAACCTGGACTCTGATTTGTCAACGGAGGAAATTATAGAAGCAATTGATGCCATGGATGCTGGCAAAGCAGCTGGTCCTGATGGATTACCAATCGATATTTATAAGAAATTCAAGAGGACACTTTTAACTCCAATTATAGAAATGCTTCAGGAATCCTATAAAAACGGGTCACTTCCTCCCTCATTGAGAGGTGCCATGATCATTTTAATTTGAAAACCAAACAAACCAGCCCATAAATGCCAATCTTTCCGTCCAATCTCACTTCTAAATTCGGACATTAAAATTCTCTGCAAAGTATTAGCACGTAGATTGGAGTCTGTTCTCCCTGTCATTATAGATATGGATCAAAACGGATTTGTTAAAGGGAGAGAAGGCTTTCATAACGTACGGACAGTGTTAAATATACTTCACGAGAGGAAAGACGCGCCAGACACTGCTCTGCTATCAGTCGATGCCGAAAAAGGCGTTTGATAGAATAGAATGGCCTTTTCTATTTGCAACACTAGACCGTTTTGGATTTGGGACTGCTTTCTGTAATTGGGTAAGGTTATTGTACTCTCAACCCACAGCTGAAATTCTGACTAACAATGTTATTTCTCAACCATTTAATATTAATAGGGGGGTCAGACAGGGGTGCCCTTTGTCACCCCTCCTATTTACACTCGCCATAGAACCCTTCGCCATAGCAGTCAGGACACACAAGAATATTTCAGGTGTCAGGTTGGGACAGCTAGAACATCGCATAGCTCTTTTTGCGGACGACGTCATTTTGTTCCTCACGGATTTAGCTAATACATTTCCAGCTTTACTAAATGTAATTAAGACGTTTGGATTATTTGCAGGTTATAAGGTGAATAATGCAAAATCCTCCATAATGTTATTGAATGGAGAAGAAAGATGCAATCCTATGGACTCCTAACAGACTCTTATACCTACCTAGGTATACATATAGTGCCTGATGTGGGAACAATTGTAAAAACCAATTATGATCGTGCTCTTGAATCAATTTATAAATCACTGGAAAGATGGTCTAATATGCCAATTTCTTTAATAGGGCGAATAAATATACTGAAAATGAATATCCTTCCAAAACTATTGTACCTGTTTCAAAACATACCTTTACCCTTGCAAAACATGTTCGAATTTCATTTGGAATAATAGACGACACAGGCTACGTTTGACGTTATTATACTTACGACAGAGGAGGACTCAAACTTCCCGCCTGTGCATGTCTGAAGGAAGGGGCGGATTCTTTTCGGCTGTTAAAGGTCACTTGGCCGCCCAATTACGCAGCATAATGTATTACTTCTCCCCCGACCCAGTCCCAGCGTGGGTAGACATTGAAGCCTTTTCACTTACCCCTAAATTGCCACTTAACTCATACATGTATTCTGCCAATGTTAAAAAGCTCAGGGAACAAACATCTAACCCATTTGTATTGAATATGATCAATGTTTGGTATAAAATTCAAGATGTGCTAGGGGGGAAATCATCAATGTCCCGTTTTAGCCCAATCTGGGGAAATGAACAATTTAAACCGGGAAGAATGGACCAAGGTTTCCATCATTGGGCAACGAAAGGTCTAACAAAAATAGGAGATATGTTTCAAGATGAAACGTTGATGTCATTTGAACAGTTGCGTACTAAATTTGGCCTTTCAAATAGCAGTTTTTATAAATACTTACAGGTACGAAGCTTTATAACTGCATCCCGCAAACAGTTATCAACTCCCCCACCACTTTCTGAACTGGAACGATTGATCTCTGATAATTGTCATGGGAAAAGGCTTATTTCAGTGCTCTATGTTGTTGGTTTTTAACTCCACTGAATCCTCTACCGACCGGCTTAACGCCTGGAAGGGAGATATACACAGGAGGATATTTCCTTGGATGACTGGGGTGTGATATGTACTGAGGCACATAGGCAAACTGCGAATACCAGATTAAGATTGCTACAACACAACTGGTTGATGCGCACGTACATAACACCTGTGAGATTACATCAGTTTAATAATAACATTCCAGATATATGTACTAAGTGTGAACAGTCTAAAGGGACACTTTTTCACTGCATGTGGGAGTGCAAAGAGATTGCAACTTTCTGGTGCGAGATCTCACAAATAATTCACAAAATGCTAGATGTTAAGATACCACTTGATCCTAAATGGTTTATTTTGGGACTTTACCCCTCCACCCCAGTCATAACAAAGAATACAAATAATCTCATAAACATGTGTTTACTCCAAGTAAAACGCTCGATTGCCTTGTCATGGAAGAACACTCAGAGGCCACATGTGGGCCAATGGCTGAGGGAAATGAGTAATTGCTGTTCTATGGAAAAGATAACGTATATTCTGAAAGGAAAAAGGAAACCTATGATAGGGTTTGGGGCCCGTTTACTCAACTGTTAGGTGATGTTAATGTGTCAAACATGAGAGCGATCTGGTTGAATGGAAAAGTAAAGTACTTCTTAAACTGCTGTGACTATGTACACTTTTTAGGATAATGTTGCTACTGCCCAATTTTATTTTTATTTCATTTTATTTTTTTATTTCATTTCATTAATGTCTCTTATTTTTATTATATATTTTATATTTCAATTTAATTTTGGTATTGTCTTTTATTTGTTTTATTGTAATGTTTTGTTGTCGTACGTTTTGTAAGGGATGGTGTGTCTTGTTGTTTAAAAGAATGAAAAATGAATAAAATATCTTGGTGTATGGCTAGACTCTGAACTTTCATTTAAACTACATATAAAGCATGTAATACAAAAAGTCAATTACGGAATCAGTGTTTTACACCGCTCTCGCAATTGTTTTACGCTCAGTGTCCGAAAGAGAATTGCTTCTCAACTTATTCTTCCGATTATGGACTATTGTGATGTTGTCTACCAAAATGCACATAAATCAGATCTTGCTCCACTCAACATAGCCTACAACAGACTATGCAGATTTGTTCTTGGTTGTCCTTTTCATACACATCACTGCACAATGTATAACCAACTTAAATGGCCTTCTTTAAATGTAAGAAGACACACGCATTGGCTTCAGCTGATATTTAAATGCATGTATCTTAACTATCCCCCTTATTTAAAGCAGTATTTTGTACCCTACTCACCAAATCATCAAGTTAGACATTCTGTTCAGATTTATTTCTCTGTCCCCTCTGCAAAAATGTATTGGCAGAAGAGCGTTCGTGTTCAAAGCCCCAACTGACTGGAATACTTTACCTGCTGCTATTAGATCTCTGTCATCATTGGGTTTATTTAAACATGCATTATCATCTCACTTTCAACCGGTCTGCACTTGTTATTAACTGATATTGATGAAACTGATTTGCTCGACTGTCTCAAATTGTAATGATTGTATGCATTGCTTGAATTTCACTTAACAGACTGTATGTGGTTTGTCTTGTGTGTCGTGTTTTGCATTTTGTATTTTTGTTTATGTATGTCTGTAAGTTGTTGCTATTGTCGGGACCCCTTGAAAACGAGATGGTGCATCTCAAGGGGTTTATCCCAATCAATAAAAATGTCTATATATATAATAAATAAAGCCATGCTTGTTGTCTAAGCAGATTGTGAGAACTTTGAAGCAAAACTCCTGATTCTCTTTAAAGTGATGCATTGTGGTTAATCTTTGGTAAATCTTGTGACCTTCAGTGAAGACTTATTAGTTTATAACAACAATAAAGACCGGACCCTGTGTGTTCGTGTCTGCAGGAGCTCTGAACGTCTTTCTGCGCCAGAAGACTCAGACGGTGACGGACACATCCGTCTGGAGTCTGACGGGTAACCAAGGAGACCGCTGGCGACGAGCCAAGGTCAACATCCACCCAACTGCACCTTTCCAGGTACAAACCCCCCCCACCCCCGCTTTATTTCAGCACCCAGAGGACACCTGTATGGATCCAAACATCAACACTCAGTAAAAAAAACTGTTATTATTTACCATTATTTTCATTTTTGATAAATCTGTCAATAATCTTCCCAATTCTCAATCAGTTGTGTGATTTAAAAAGTGCAAAATGTGAGTATATTTACTAAAATACCATACTTAAGTACAATTTTGAGGTACTGTTTCTGCTACTATATACTTGTACAGCTTTAGTTACATTAAAATGTAAACATTGTAAAAGGTGACTTGTTGGGCTCTGCGTAATCTCACAATTTTTCCTTTAAAAAAAACAAAACAATCGATTAATGGAGGAACTAATCAACAGTTTAATCCATAATGAAAATAACTATAAGGGCTCTTTTTCACACAGCTACAAACGTAAAATCCTGCTTTTACCTCAATCATGACTCATAATAATCTAATGATAGAAAAATGTAAATATAAAGGAGAATGTTATTCATTTTCTTGATTACGCTAACATACTTAAAGAATATTTTCAATGCAGAACTTTGTGCTGTTCCAGAGTACCTTCACAGTGTGGTATTATTACTGTTACTGAAGTAAAAGGTTTCAGTAATGCTCAGTTTCCTGTCTTCCTGTGCGTTAGATGGTGATGGAGGGAGTCCGAGGCGCAGGCATCGAGGGAGATATCGCCATCGATGATGTAACCATCGAGGAGGGCGAATGTAAAGACCCTCCCCCAAACAGTGAGTAACATCAAGTAAAATAGAATCTAAAAAAAGTGATATTTTAAAGTAGGAAAACATGCAATTTGCCCCCAAACATCAGGTTGGGAACCCCAGCTTCAGGTCTGCCCACAATTTCAACTGAATTTCCAGAAAAACGTGAATCAATGCTCTTGTTTTTAAACGTATTTCTCTCTCTTCCCACACAGATCTAAGGTCGCTTGCCCCTCCCTCATCACCCCATATATGGCAGCTGTGCATCACTCTGAGTCTGGCTCTGATTGGCCGGCAGAGGTGACCCCCCCTCTCTACAGGACGCCACATCATTTGACTCTTCTTACCCTCCCTTCAATCCCATCATCCCCCATCATTAAAACACCCCCCCCCCCCCCCCCCCCCCCCCCCCCCCCAACTACCAAAGATAAGGTCAGAGCTTCAGAGAGAGCTGGCACAAAAGGTCAGGAGGTCACATGGAGACACGTCAGGTTAGCTGCTCCTAAATGCTTTCACTCTTTATGCTAAGCTAACAACATCCTGACTCTAGACACTTAACTCAGACAGCCAGAGAATAAGTTAACTTACTAAAATATCAAACTTTTAACTTTCAATATAATTCAAAAACTTGTGCTTTTTGAAAGAGTTCCTTTTATACTTTTGGGAGTTTTCCCTTTCCTGTAGTTTGTTATATAGGTTTCTGTGCATTTAAATGGTCTTCAAAGGCTAAAATCCCTGTGTTCCCTCAGAGAGAGCTACTGATATTACAGCGCAAACACACCCATGACGTTTTGCAGCTTAGTGCAATTATTCATGTGGAAGAGTATACATGTTGCCTTTGTTCCAAGACAGTAGGCAGAAAAAATGGCAGAGATAAAGAAAAATGAAAGCTACAGGTCCTGATGAGTTGCAGAGTTATACCTCAAAACTACTGTGTTATTTGTGCATTCCCCCCTGACTGAGTGTTAAAACAATAAGAAATAGTTTGTAAAAAAGTAGAATAGCTGCCAATCCTCCAACAGCATTTTAAGAACATTGTTTTCAAAGCAACTTCTGAAAATCACTTATTTGGTATTTCACCTTGATCCGGTTTCTCCTGTGATAATTGATGACCTTTGGTTTCAGCTCAGCGTCACAAAGCACAGAAAAACAGGCGCTTCAGTCGGAAAAAAGAGGAAATAACAGCTTGAATGTCAACCTTCCTAAACACCCACCATCATACCACCCCACTCATGCCTCCCCCCTCCTTACTCCTTACCCTTCTACAGATCAACAGTACTGTAACACAAGCTGGACGGACGAACTGCATCTCTCTGTTTTTGCGGGGGAAGTTGACTTTTTTTCAGTGGGAGGTTACGACAGTATTTTAAAAAACAAAAGAACTTGAAGATGTTATTTTGACGTCTGTCTGTCTGAGGAGGAGTTCCCTCTCTGCCACGACATCAAGTGCCTTCAGACTCGCAGAGTAAAAGAACGCAGAAAAAATATAACCGAAAAAACAAGAGACCGTCGGACATCGTTATGTCTTAATGGCCAAGAAGAAGAAAACAACCAATTCATATTTCTTGGTCTAATTATGCAGAGAATTAGTTTCTTACAGATTTTTTTTTCTTTTATTGAGATGAAAATGTTTATGACGACGAGGATTCTGGGAAAACAGAAGCCATTTTCGATGGCGTATAGAAGAGGCAGCAACAAAGACACAAAGGGACGCAAATAGACTAATACGGACATGAAGCTCCTTTGATTTATTTAACGATTTAAAGAACAACCCTGCAATCATAATCTGAGGATCTGTGACTGGATATTTCAAAATACAAGACAACCTGCTCGGACGATTTCAAGCCTGAAGCCAATGGGATTTCTCTCTGAACTATTTTAGTATTTCAAAATAACAGATTTCAGAAAGAGGCGGAGACTTTGACTCTACCTGAAATCATCACTTATATTAATCTACAAAAACTGGAGCCGGAGTTTTTGGAAGAAGGAGAATGAAACATGTATTGTAAAATCAAATCTTATATTGTTCCTATAATATTATGAAGACAGGGGGAATCTTTACACGTTTTATGTACTTCATTTTTGTTTTGTTTCAACAAGGGTGGGATCTTAAATTGAAGTTTATTTTTTTGTGGAAAGACTGAAGGAAAATTTGGAAGATTGAAAACCCAGGTGCAGTATTTTTTGTTTTGTTAGTTAATGGTTTGAGATTTAATCAACGTTTTGCTGATAAAACATTTCTACTACAAACCAAAATCCATCGTGAGAATTCATCGAAAAAAGCACAAAAATACATAAATGTTTGTTAGTTAAACAGTTTACGCATCAAAACACACCTTTATGGAAATCATCAGATCTGCATCTTAGGTATTATTAAGAAGCTCATTTCTGCCAAAAAAGACAAACAGGTATAAAAAGTTTGGAGGCTGAGAATTATAAAGATTCATTGTAAATAATCCCAAATCTAAAAGACCGAAAAATTGCAAACTCTTGCCTAGCTTTTAGTTTTTTTGTAATAATTTAGGCTTAATTCTCAAAGGACTGACTAGAAATGATTACAGTTGATTTACTTTCCCTTCGTAATGGAGTTAAAGGTTCTGATGACATGTATTGTAACTTTTGCTGAACTTATAAATTCATCTTTATGACTCAATAGCTCATATTTTATTAACAGTCTTTTACCATTCCTAACATTTTATCATTATTTGTTATATTTTTTGTGGCAGAAAGGGGCTTATGTACTTACTGAAAAAACCACACAACTGCCATTTTGATTAAAGTGGTTTCACAACATATGTTAGAAAATAATTTTAACTTGAAAAGACATTTAAAGACATGTTTTTCAGCATCATTTGGTTCATTTATGCAACAAAATTCTGAATGAAACAGAAAATGTGGGTCTGTTATTTGATATAATTGAATATCAGTCAATTTGATTAACTCACAGTGGATTTCACAAAGTGTTTAGGATTCGCTGTGTCTTTAAAATTGACTTTCTTAAGAAAAAACCCCAGTTTGTAATGTTTGTACTTAAGAATAATGCTGATTCATCACTTACATCTCAGCCACTGTTACCCTCACATTAGACTTTGATGCGTTTAACAGAGGATTTATTAGATAACTCATACTCTCGGATAAACATCATTTCTTTTTAATGTTATGCTGATTTTTCTTTCATCCCTGTGGCGACACTTTTCTTCTCTATTTGTTTTTCCACTGCAGCTAATAATCTGATTTGTATTATAGCTCCTCTGGGTGTCAGTTTATCCTCCTCTGCATCATTATCACATTAACTCTGTTTATGTGGCATCCCTGGAGATGATTAGTCGCATCTGATTTTAGCACAAATGGGTTTATTTCTTTAAATAACGGGGTCCAAACAAAGATGGCAGCCAACAACTGATCATTGTTTCGGTAGACTTTTGTGTTTGTTATGGATCCCATTGAGAAATCAGATACTTAAATACAATGCTAGAAAAGTATATTATAGCACATTGGCAGTGACATTTACTGTCTCCTATTTAGAGACCACATTTCCCAGAAGTCCTGTTCTATAAAACACACTTTTTGCATCAATTTTTGCTGTAAGAATTTTCCCATATCGATCTTTGAAATCAGTTGAGTCACTCAGGCTCTCAAGTAAAGCATAAATTGAGACCTGTGTTACAAAACCGTTAAATGTTCCGTCCATATGATAATAGTTGTCTTGCCTCGTCAAAGACTATGCTGCAGTGGAGAAACTCTTCCTCATTTATTACCCTGGGGTTATATGTTATATTTGCATTTTGGGGGGGATGGTGTGAGGTGCAATACAATAACAACTTTAAAAAAGCCACCAACACGTGTGGACGTGTGAAGAAAGATATTTTTATAACTGTGATTATTCTCTGCAATATATTCTCAGATCAGTTAGAATGACTGAAGGTTACACTGCATTCTGGTTATTATTATTATGATTATTATTAATAATAAAAATACACTCCAAATGTAATTTCTTACGGTTTTCTTTCTTGGCGTCTTTATGCTGTATTGTATGTCAATCTATGTGTTTGTATTCATCACCTTGTGGGGACATACACCTGTTGACATTTGTGCCTTGTTGGGCTCATAGAGGTGGGGAATCGTGTACACTGTCCTTGTCGGGTCTTTCTTATTCAGTTAATCATTGTCTGGACTGTCCTCGTAGATGTTCCTTGTGAGGACTCTATTCTCAGTGGAACATTGTGAGGACTCTCCTGGTACATGATCATTGTAGGGACTCTATAGATGATCCTTATGAGGACGTTTCTTGTCAATTATCATTGTGGGGCCTTTCCTCGTAGATGTTCCTTGTGGGGACTCTCTTTATAAATTATCATTGTGGGGACTATACTTGTAGTTGTTCCTTGTGGGGACTCTTCCAGTAGATCAGGGGTGGCCAACCAGTCAGAGGTTAAGAGCCACATTTTGTCTATGTTACTGCAAAGAGCCACATCAAACACACAGTCACTGATACCGCTTGTTTCCGTTTTTTGTTTTCTGGAGACAAGATTTCAACCACGTCACTGATGCATTTTTGTGGCATTGGGATATATATTTTTTAAATCCTCTGGAGCAGAGAGAGGAGCTGTGGATTATTGTTATTGATTAATGCATCAGTGTTTCTTAGGGTCAAAAACACTAAACTCACAACTTAAGATGAAAGCGTTTAGTTTATTTAATAAAAGAGCACATGTTCAATGTGAAAAGTGACAGTAGTTATAGATTATTTGCAATTTGGTGCTATATATATATTTAAAAATAAAATTATATATATATTTTTTTTAAACACCTTGAATTTCAGGGGGGGGCGCGGGGCTCCGTTGGCGGGGCGCAGCGCCCCTCCAAGACAATGGTAGGGGAAACGCTGGATAATGTTTAATCAACGATAGGTTTTCCCCCCCTCAAAGGTGATTGGTTCACTGCATCGCAGGTATTATTGTGATTGGCTCTTGGGCCACATCAAAATTATACGCGCTGTCATCCTCTCATACTGACACCACACATACACAACATACATAACACGGGACGAAAGTAACGGAGCGATTTTATCCGAGCCCAAACAACTTGGACCGGCCAAATTACGTCAGAATTATCAGCATTCAATACTTAACAGACCTACTAAATATCAGGTTTAACTGTCAGGAGTAGCTAGTGTTGTCACGATACCAACATTTTGGTTTTGATACCAAGTCAAGAATTGCGATTCCGATTCTTTTTCGATACTTTTCTTAAAAAAAGGGAAACGGTCTTAAATGTAATTATTGTGCTTTATTTCACACCAGAACCATAACCATAACACAAACTTTTAAACAATGAGAACAATAAATAAAATAAATGACAAGAATTCGTATTAAATAAAATTAATAAATGTCTTACAGACAGGCCTCGTGGTGTCCGTAGGCTTGCCCTCACTGTCAGAGATATAGCTAAAATACTTCCAAATTTCGCTTCTGGCGTCTTTTTTGTCAACAAGCCGAGGCGCAGCGGCAGTTGCACTCCCACTTGCAGCCATGCTTCTCGTTTTCTCACATGCTCTGGCAGCTAGCGCGTGCACGAGAGAGGGGAGGCACTTAGAGCGTGCTTGAGAGGGGAGGGACTTAGAGCGTGCTTGAGAGGGGCGGGACTGCAGGCACGGCTGCAGTGCAGGGAGTGGAAGCAGAGCGCTGAACACACACGGCTCTTATTAAAACGGCGCTTTCTCACCGGAGTACTTTCCCCCGTCATTCTTAAAGTACCGATACTAATGAAACGGAGGAATCGTAACGTTTTTAACGGCAGGGTATCGCGGTACCTTTCAAGTATCGGTACACCGTGCAACACTAGTCAGGAGTCAGTGTCTCTCCCCCAAACTCACACATAAAATTCGATATGAACCGAAGAGCCGCATGAAACTAGGCAAAGAGCCGCATGCGGCTCGAAAGCCGCGGGTTGGCCACCCCTGCAGTAGATGATCCTTGTGGGGACTCTCTTTAGAGATTATCATTTTAGGGACTCTACTTGTAGTTGGTCCTTGTGGGTACTCTTCCAGGTCCCTGTGGGGACTCTCTTTATAGATTATCATTGTGGGGACTTTTCTTATAGTTGGTCCTTGTTGGGACTTTTCCAGTAGAGGATCCTTGTGGGGACTCTCTTGAGAAATTATCATTTTATGGACTATACTTGTATTTGGTCCTTGTGGGGACTCTTCCAGTAAATTATCCTTGTGGGGACACTATAGATTATCATTGTAGGGACTATACTTGTATTTGGTCCTTGTGTGAACTCTTCCAGAAGATGATCCTTGTGGGGACACTCTTTATAGATTATCATTGTGGGGACTCTACTTGTAGTTGGTCCTTGTGGGGACTCTTCCAGTAGATGATCCTTGTGGTATCTCTCCTCTAAAATTGACCATCTTTTTCTGTCAGGCACATGCTTGGTATTACTAGCCTCCAATGAACAAATGACTTCAAAGCAATGCATTGTCCTCACAAATGACAAAAACCTGTTATTACCTTTCAGAAACATGTCTACACACTAACATTGTGGAGACCCTGAACTCTAAACGGTACATTTGACATTGCAAACTTGTGGTTGTTTAAATATCTTTAGGCAATGCAATAAAACATAAATACATAAATGCTTGTAAATGTTGGAGTTCATAGTAAAGACCTGCCATTGTTTGAATTCAGTCAAAAAACGTAAAGAAAAACAGGATGTAATTTCTCTGATTTAAACAAAATGACTGACAGCTCAAAATGAACCGGCTAATGAGAGTCTTGAGTGAAATGAATGACAAACTCTACCATCTGGATGGATATTACAAATTATAAAGAGCCAACTTCAATTAGACCTGCTGTGTTTTATTTAATGAAGTGAAGCCCTACCTACATGATCAAATGACAGAACAAAATTATTAAACCTAATTAAAAATGATAGACATTATTTCCTGATGTTTCAGTTGGACATCATTTGTATCTTGATCTCTAACAGAGTTTAAGAGAAAGATATTCGATTTAAAGTATGGAGATAGATATGTGTCCTCCACAAAGATCTAGTGGTGTTTATACATTTATAAAGTTTGTGCTCACCTCTGCAAAGGGAAATACCTCCCTAAAAAGTGTAATGCTATGACATTAACATGTTACTGTTGTTGCTGCTCCTCCGAGTCAATGCACTAAAAGAGAGCATCATTTGTAAATATCATATATTAGGATGACAGCAGCTCCCAAATGTAATTTAGTTAAGTAAAAGTAAAATATATTCTAATGCATTGAAACAGTCAAAAAGTACCTGTGGCATAAGGAGGCTACAGATAAGTTTGGATCTTCTTTGTGTCCTTGCTGTTGCAGTTTAAAGCAGCATCTCTCTTCCACCGGAGAATAAATAAAGATTTCTTGCAGATTAACTCGTCCTGGTTCTGGTCCAGGACTCTCGGGTTTTTGTCCTTGGCGTGCTGCTGCTTCTGCTGCTGTGGATGATTTGTGTTTCTCCATTAAGTTTACATTGAAAGTATAATTAATAGTCTTCTGGGGTCTTCTCAAAGCTGGACCATTCATCAGCTCTGACACGATGCTGCCGGCTAACGTCTCCGCTCTCTGCTGGCTGAACGTCTTCGGCGCGGTCGCCTTGTTTATCACCGTTTGTTATTTACTGAATCCAGCCCGGCGCCACGGCTGGCTAATGGCCACCATTCATCATCCCTCAATTGATTTTCAATTTCAGTGCTGCTGTGTATTAAGCAGATCAGAGTCCGGCCGGTCTGTTTTCTGGAGTGGATTGTTTGTTAAAGCCCTGAGGAGACTGCAGTTATGTGGTGGGTGGAGAATCTGACTTAAATGTGTTTTAAAGTTGTTTATCTTCTAATTAATTCAACCTCAATTTACCTGGTTGTGCGAGGAATGGCATGTTTGTGGTCTTAACATGTCATGTAAATCACCCATTTGATGAAAGATTTCTCAAAATGAGTTAATTGTCTCAAAAGCCTGGTGGTTTTTTAAGTTCTGTGGTATTTCAACACATCAAAAACTTTAAACAACTTCCACTTCTGCTGTTTTAGTCCCTGATTTCTTTAAAGTCTTGCAACAGTGTTTTAAATAATCTCACCTGAACCTTGGGACCAACCTTAAGACGATCTGAAGTCAACAAAGACAAACCAATATTAAGATGGCTGCCACAAACTTGCACAGATTTTGTATCTGGTTTTTATTGGCAACCTCATGACACCAGAGAAATGCAGTGATTCACCGCTAAGTAGCAACCGGAGATCAGGAAGTACGACTTTGCAAATCTTGAAAATAAGGCAAACTAGCAGATGTTCTTGTACCAACAAAAAAAACATGGATGCTAACCACCTTTAAACATCCAATGGATAATTTGCAATGACATCTCAGTAGGAAGCCTCGACAAAGCGGCTCCGTGTCATTTTTCCGTGGAATATGCATTACTATGATATTGTTAACATTTTCAAAGAAAAAATGTAGAGTTGAATAAAGAGTTATTCGCCTGGAGGTGAAATAAATATAAATGGAAAAGGATCAGGAAAAACCAAAGTGGATTAAATTATGTTGATTAAATGTAACATCAGATACCTGAATGCTGTGATCTAGCCTTAACTAATGTGGAAAAGACTTGAACAATTTAGCAATAGAGTAGTATTTTTTTGTTATTGCAGTCATGTCCCTGGGAATTTTTGCCAAGAGCTCCAAGTAAATAAACACTGGCTCGATGGATGGTAATTTGGATCGCCCTACCGCTTAGATCCAGACTGAAATATCCCAACATTTAGTGGATAGATTAGCAGAACATTATCAGGGCTGCTAGCTAACTAAGATGCTGTGAACCAGTCGTTCTCCTGATGCTTTCATCCAGCCTCAAACTGACAGTACAAACCAAACTGAGTGTTCCCTGTTCAATGTGTCTTCTGTCGTGGGAACAATCAGCTCTCACATCTTTTATTTTCTTTGAATAGTGAGTTCAAACAGTTGCACGTCTCCTCGTGGCGTCGACAGATCTCAGTGAATTCCCGGCGGAGTCTGTTGTGAAGGTGGAGGTGGTGTGGGGGTTTCTCCGTTGTCTTGTTCGGATCAGATAAGCTTTTTAGGCAGCACATTTCAGCTGTCACCTGAACACAGAGCTGCTCTCTCATCTGGCAGTCAACCTGATTGAACCAGACGCTTTATAAGGTGCTGAAGGTGTGACTGTGTGAGGATCAGCTGTCTTTATTCGGAGCGCTGAAAAGACTCACTGAAGACATTGAAGCTCTGCAGCCACCAGGAGTCCTCCTGAATCAAAAGTAAGAAGTATATGTTAAAAAAAAACTAGAAATACTACATATATTATAATATCACAAGTGAGAGTAATTGATTCAATTATTATTGGATTATAATTGTATCTCTCTTCACGACACAGACACAGGTCGGTTCTTTAAAACGGGCGTTTACTTATTGGAGTTTTCATTTTGTAGCCTCCCCTCTTCCGTTACGCTCGTTTTAACTACAACAACGAATTACACATATACATGGCCAAACACATTAGCATAGTACACTACACATATATGAATGAAAATATATAAACATAAAACAAATACCTCGTTGGCCGCACGTCGCGAAAGGAGATTCATCTTTAAAGTTCCCTTTCCGAATAACCTTGTCAAAATTATAAATTTTTCAAAGACTTCAGCTGAGCTTCAAATAAAGACGTCAACCCATGTTGAGTTGTCCAGTGTATCAATAAAACACGCTGTACCAGTACATGAACAAACATTAGTTCCTAGGCACAACAAACAACAAAACTTACACATATTGGTGTAAAATACAAAACAAAACTGTATTAAATCATGCCATACCAAAACGATTACAACATTACATGAAATAACGTACCCATTTATTGAATTCAACTATGAAACCAATTGTGTTGTTCTTTTTGATTTAAGCACATTTGTTACGTCATATACAAAAATTAATATTAATGCCTTCATCCATTAAGTGTGACTGAAAAGGTTTAAGATTGTTTTTATGACTTTGTATACTGGGAAGCTTGTCTGATTTTTTAACAAATATTTTAGATATATTTTAAGCAGTGTGACAGATTTCCTAAAGGAAACACAGTAAACTTCTTTGCTGTCCAGGTAGCCCACCAGTTGCCGTCCTTGTTTTGATTTGGAAACAAAGATGGGAATCTGGATATCTTTGAATCTTTGAGGATTCAGAAAACACCTTTAGGACTTTTCTTTTTCTTTGGGTTTGTAAATGTAACACAAGGAGCTGCCCAGCAGATGTCGCCATTTATGACTGCAACAAATGCTTCAAAACCATGAACCAACTTCAACATTATACAATGGAACATTTGAACATCAATGTAAGTAAAAGTATTCTCATCTTCTTGTAATAAAAGTATCGGCAGTAAAAGTACAGAAGTATCCTCAGCTTTATGCTGTACTCATAGAACAGTAAAATGCGACTGATATCTGATTCTATGCTACATTAATACATTGTTGATACCGAAGCATCCGATCAGAGCAGTTTGCTACTTGTGTAGCTGCTCCAGGTAATGTCGTTTTCAATACTTTATATAGAGTTTAGTCGGTCGAGCCCCTTCAAAGGGTCCCCAGATAAGTTAGGCTGGTTATTCTGTTCAATCTGTCTATTTATTTTTAGATCATTTTTATCTATTATCTCTTTGCTAGTCTGAAAGTTTACAACCCTAACCGTAACCCTAGGCAGACTGGAAATGGGGAGAGGTTAAGACGAGCATCAATAGGCACTCCTTTTTACTTTCTCTGTCATAGTTGCTCAGGTGTTATACAATTAAACTTGTTTTCCTTAACCTGATTCGTCACATTCCTGCGACAGTCAACTGCGAGCCACTTTCAGTAAACTAAAAGTACGCTTACTTTGTGATCAGTTTATAAGAAGAACAGTGACGGAGAGAATCAGATTTTGGTTATTTCGCCATGAAGATGAAGGCGTTAGTGGGGTTTTTGACCCTCGTACACGGTATGATTACCTTCTTCTTTCTACTCTCATGTCTCCAGCTTTAGTTTCATGTATCCTCGTAAATCAGCAGCTAAAACCAAAGTTTTGATTTAAAATGAACACATTTCAAGGATGCTAAAATCTAATTTAATGATTTATTACAATTAAAATGGAGTTTGTGTTTTTGTTGTGAAATTCACTGCATAGAAACAATAATAGAAAATAGAAGCAGAAGCAGACAAATATCTCCTGTTTCATATGACCACTTCAATTGAATATATAAAATGCATTTGCTAATACTTTTCTTAGTGTCATTTTGAATGCTTACTTTACTTGTAACAGAGTATTTTATACTTTTAATTAAAACAATCTGATTAGTTCTACCGCCACAATCATTTGGTACCGTCTGCATGTTCCTTTTTTTGGGAGCAAGTTGTAAATTATTCTTATTTAAGTTGGGTTAAATCATTTATCTATTTATCTAGCTTTGGTAATTTCTTAAATGCAAGTGTTTCTGAGTATTTGTAGGATAAAAGGTTTCTATTTATATAAATGTATTTGTACATTTATTATAAACTTAATTATATATACATTTTTTGTGTGTAAACAAACAAGCAAATAAAATATATACATTTATAATTTAAACATCCTTTTGTGTGTCCTTCAAGTTTCCCAGCAATTTTCAGCTGTTGTAAGCGTGTATGAGGGGGTGGAGTCTGTCCAGCTGCCCTGTCAGTCATCTAGGTTACCTGAGGACACAACAGTGGTGTGGGAGCGATACGATTCCCATCCCTCAACCGTCTACCAGCATCAGCATCAGGTATATGAGCATTATCTTCAAAACCAGCATTACAGCGGCCGGACATCAATGTCAACTGATGCTCTGGAAACTGGAGACCTCAGCCTCACTCTGAAAGAACCCCAACTCTCTGACAGTGGCGTCTACATCTGCCAAAGGTTCAGAAAGGAAGAGGAATTATCACCCCGATTCACAATGTTACTGGAGGTCAAAGGTGAGGAACATCCCTACCCCCATCCCCATTAAACATGCAGGTTGGGGGTAAGTGGAGAAAACATTATATTGTGCTTTCTAGTGGATAAAACATAATAAGTGCCCTGTAGGGAAACATGTAGTGTGGAAAACATGATGCAACTAGAAAATGCATTTCCTGCTTAAAATGCGTGTGAATGCTGTAAACATGTGTTGCTGAATTTAACTGAAAATGCAGAAAAGGCTAAATATGTTCTTAGTTGAATGGTAGCTGCTTTTAGCTACAAAAACCAAGTAAGTGTGTTGCTGAACTTAGCGGAGAAATGCAGAAAAGTGAAATTATTTGAATCAAAATTGTTACAGCTCAAATGCATTGCAATGACTTTGTTGAAAACTTGAAAGTGAAATGTTAAACTGGAAGAGTAGGAAAAATAGTGAAGAAGCTTAATATTTAAAAGAAAAGGTTTAAAAAAGGTATAAACAACTAAATGTATATCCTCAATGTCCTGAAATAGCTGAATAATGTAATAGTTGAATGGTTTCTGTAGCTGAAAGTAGGCTGAAGGAGTTAGATATTAAATGTAAGTAGTAGTGAATGAATGTGTATTAAGAAGAGAAAAGAAAGTCAGAATGCAGCAGAATATTTTTACTGCAAACTTTTGAACTAAAACCAAACGTCGCCAATAATGTATAAAATATGTGGACCGCGTTGAAGTCAGTATGAAGTCTCCATCACGGCCCCTACACACGGCGGCGTGCGTTGACGCTTCAACGCTTCTGCCCATTCACTTTGAATGGGGTGACGTCACGCTTCGCCGAACTGCATTGTGAGAGCAAAGCGTTGCACAATGTTCTACTTTTGAAGCCAATCAAACCGCTGCTTGTGTGTCCGGGGCGGGTGATTCAGGTGATTGGTTGTTGGTCTAGCTTCAGACATGCCCGCCGGCAAGCGGCAACGCACGCCGCCGTGTGTAAGGGCCGTCAGAGAGAAAATAATAGGCTGAGACAGTCTTTAAACTCCAGTCTGTGTGTTTGTGTTTGAGGTGATGACGTTATCAAACACCTGTGTGTGTAAGCCCAGAGATCAAAGGTTACCATGGTGACAACGTTATCAAACACCTGAGTGTGTGAGCCCAGAGATCAAAGGTTACCATGGAGATGTGCAGTGAAAGGAGAGCCTTTCCATTGTTCTGAATGAGAAATAAACCTCTTGCATTTCTAACTTTTGTTGAAAACCGTAGCAGCTATCGGTAAAATGTCAACGCGTGGAGCATGTCAGGACCCTGAAAAGCGTCTCAGTCTGCTTTTCGTGGACTTTCGGGTCAATAATGTGGCGTTTTTGTCAAATTTACTAAAGGTGTGCAGTTGCTGCTCTGACGAAAGATCAGGCTGAATTTACGATGGGCCTTAATGGAGACATGTTGAACGTTGTTGTCACTTCATGCCCTCAAGAGGCATTTTGTTTAATTGTTTTGCTTAATATTTTTTTATTTTTTTATACGTAGGAGAGGTTTTCCTACGTTTTTCATGAAAAATGATGTCCAAGGACTGTAGGGTTTGGGAATTATGGCAGGTTTAAAATAAAAAAGTAAGGCTAATTTCAAGCTCTCCTCGACTCTAGCTGTGAAATCACGCACTCTAAGCCTTACGCTGCGTCCACACGGCGGCATGCGTTGACGCTTACCGGTGAGCTTGTCTGAAACTCGACCAACAACCAATCACATGAATCTCCCGCCCCGGACACACAAGCACGCGGCTAGAGCTTGTACTGGCATATGATTTGATTGGCTGACGCTTCCGCCGAAGCTTCAAAAGTTGAACATTGCTCAACTTTTGAGACGAGCAACGCGAGCAAAGCGAAGCAACACTCCCACAATGCAGTTCGGCAAAGCGTGACGTCACCCCATTCAAAGTAAATGGGCAGAAGCGTTGAAGCTTCAACGCACGCCGCCGTGTAGACGGACCATTAACGAGCTGCGCAATACACACTAATGTTAAAATCTGAAGAAGGTCTCTTTACCGTTCGCACTAATTCTCTCTAAGGTGGCCTTGAGGCAGTCGAATTCAAGCTGTACTGCTGGAAAACTTGGTGCCCTACCACATGCAGCTGGTGTCCTTTAATTGTTTTCACCCCAGCCCCTCCGACAGTCACACATGCTGCCCGTTGGCCTTTATATTAATTGTTTGCTTCTACACTAATGCTCTGAACGCCATGTATATAACCTTTTAAGTTTGTAAAGATGTCTATGCATATATGTGTAGGTATTTGTAAATGTAATAGTTTTGTGTTTTTGGCGTGTAAAGAAGTTATTTTAGATAATATATACATCAATAATTGAGACATCATTTTGTGTCTCCTCCCAGTTCCTCAACATAACTCAACCATTTAGGGGGGGTGAAGTCTGTCCAGCTGCCCTGCCAGTCGTCTAGGTCAGGGTCCGCGGGTCATTTGGTACCGGGCCGCAGAGAAAGGTTGAATACAAAAATATTTTATAAAGATATTATACAAAAATATTTTATTGATTATTAGTCTGAAAGTTATTTTATTTTTCGCGTGCCGTGAGTTATTACAGTGATACTTTTTTCTGAACCAGCCCAACTCATGGAAAACCGCCCATCTGGCAACACTGAGCGCGAGAGCAGTCTGGACTCTGGAACGTCATTACGCTGATTGGCTGTACGATACCCCAAATATTAAGCCCACAAAAAGCCCTGCTAAAAACAAGCTAGCAAAAATGAGTGCAACACAAACTTCTTTAAAGAGATTGTTGGGAAAGGGGAAAAGACCCAATGAGGAGACAGAGGAAGAAGAGCCTACGACTTCAAAGAAAAAGAAAGCTGCATTTAAAAGACAATATCAGTAGTCCGACTTAAAGTATGGGTTTATCGCTACAGGTGATTCTCATGCTCCTAGCCCGCTCTGCATAATATGTGGCAACAGGCTAGCAAATGAGGCAATGAAGCCTTCAAAACTGCTTCGGCACATGGAGACCAAGCACCCTGGATTTTTTTAAAGAAAGAAACGTGAGCAAGAATGACAGAAGCAATTACTGAAGGCCACCACATCTGAGAGCATCATACTTAGTGGCTAACTGTATTGCTAAGGCGAAGAAACCTTTACTATTGGTGAATAATTGATCCTTCCAGCCACGAAGGACATTTGCCGTGAACTTCTTGGAGAGGCTGCAGTTAAAAAGATTGCACAGGTTCCTCTTTCGACTAGCACCGTCACTAGGCGAATTGAGAAAATAGCAGAGGACATTGAGACACAATTGTTGGAGAGGATTAATAAATCACCGTGGTACGCAATCCAGGTTGATGAGTCTACTGATATTGACAACAAGACAATACTACTCGTTTATGTGTGATATATATATATATAGCCTATATCAGGAGGATGTGCATGAGGATATGTTATGTGCACTAATGTTGCCAACCAACACCACAGCTGCAGAACTATTCAAGTCTCTGAATGATTACATATCAGGAAAACTTAATTGGTCCTTTTGTGTCGGCATATGCACGGACGGAGCTGCTGCCATGACTGGACGGCTTTCGGGGTTTACCTGCTCGGGTTAAGGAGGTTGCACCTGAATGTGAGTCTACACACTGTGTCATTCACAGGGAAATGCTGTCTAGCCGAAAAATGTCACCTGAACTTAACAGCGTATTGAATTATGTCATTAAAGTCATTTACCATGTCAAAGCACATGCTCTTAACTCGCGTCTATTCGCGCAGCTTTGTGAGGAGATGGACGCACAGTACAAACGCCTTCTCTTACACACAGAAGTAAGATGGCTATGTAAAGGGAGATCGTTAACCAGAGTGTTTGAGTTACGAGAGCCGCTGCAGAGATTTATTTCCGAAAAAAAGTCACCACTGGCAGCACACTTCAGTGACAAGGAATGGGTCGCAAATCTCGCTTACTTGTGCGACATATTCAACCTGCTCAATGAACTCAATCTGTCACTTCAGGGGGAAATTACAACTGTCTTCATGTTGGCAGATAGAGTAGCTGCATTCAAGGCCAAGGAATTGTGGGGACAGCTAGTGAACTGAGGGATATTTGACATGTTTCAAACAATAGCAGGGATTTTAGAAGAGACTGAGCCTGAGCCATCATTCTCCCAGCTAGTGCAGGATCACCTCTCTTCGCTTTTGAAAGAGTTCGAGCGGTACTTCCCATCCACAAAAGACCCACGAAGGGCAAAAGAATGGATCTGCGACCCATTTGTGAACACACCAGCTGAATCAAGCTTGTCCGTGCCAGAAGAAGATCAACTGCTGGAGATTGCAAATGACGTTGGCCTTAAAAGTGTGTTTCAGACAACAACTCTTCTGGTGTTCTGGATTAAAATCAAGGCAGAATATCCTGAGATCGCCAAAAAAAGCACTGAAAACCTTGCTTCCATTTCCAACATCCTACCTTTGTGAAGTGGGATTTTCTACGGAGTGGACTGGACATAAGGAACACACTTCGGGTGTCATTGTCTCCCATTACCCCTAGATTGTTGCAGAGACACAAGCCCAGGGCTCCCACTAATGCAGCGTAATGGTGAGTTATATCTTATGCACTTTATATTTGTTTTGATGCCGGTGTTCCAGTTTAGCTGGTTATTGTGTTAACTGGTTTGATCTGCTTACACATTTACTTTTATTAATTCCTTCTTTTGCAGATGTGCGAGAGACTTTGAGACAGCAAACTGTGTTGAGTCAGTGTTTGAACGGGCAGATTGTCTGTCAACTGCAGAATATAAATGAAGCCTGCAATAAATAAATAAAATCGATTGAACTATAGCCGAGGCAATTAAGGTCTGAACCCATGCTTTGAAAAACGCTACTTTACTTGCATGTTTTTTTTGCAATTATATGCCTTTGTGGTAACATTCAACCCAATGGAAAATAGCTAACGTTACAACCATAGACAGAACGAAAGCAACACAATAACCAGGTAAACAGGAACACAGGTCGTATTATTTTATTTCGTCATATTTATCCCCCCACAACTTGAAGGCTGGTCCGCGAAAATATTGTCTTACATGAAACCGGTCCGTGGCGCAAAAAAGGTTGGGGACCGCTGGTTTAGGTTACCCGAGGACACAAAAGTGGTGTGGAGCCGCTTCGGTTTTAATCCCTCAGCCATCCACCAGCATCTTGACGAAAATGAGCCCCGTTTTCAAAACCAACATTACAGCGATCGAACATCTACGCCAATTTATGCTCTGATAACTGGGGACTTCAGCCTCATTCTGAAAGAACCCCAACTCTCTGACAGCAGCGTCTACACCTGCCACGTCCATAACAAGGAAAAGGACATTTCAAGGGTAATTGTGTGCCTGCAGGTTACAGGTAAGGAACAAACCCTAACCCCATTACTCTGTACATACAGGGCAGAGTAAGGTGGACATGGAAGGATTATCAGAACTTCTTATTACTTTATTAGAATACAAAAAAAAGGTTTTTACATATAATATTGTAGCTGTTTGGTGTACAGTAAGAGAAAGTCATGTTGTTGATTATGTTGCCAACAGAACGGCCCACATTTCCTCCTTGGTTATATCCTATGCTGGCTGTTTGCCTTGCTCTGGCTGTAGCTGCCTTGGGTTGGTACACAACCATCACAGGTATGTAGTATGTTGTCACAGGACCTGTTAAGATCACAGTTTGTGTGTTCGTGCTGCTGATGCTGTGGTTTGTTGTCCTCTCAGTCTCTTCTGTAGTGGTGGAAGAGGGAGTGTGCTTTGTAAAACTTCCTTACAATACCATGGCCCCTCTGCCTGAAGACGTCACCGTGGAGTGGAGTCCTTGTGCCCTCGAGCCAATGAGGGTCCACGAATATTGTAACGGTAACAACGATCTTGTCAGACAGGATGAGTTTTATTGCGATCGCACAAAGATGCAGAAGGAACTACTGAAAACCAAAGACCTCCGAGTCAATGGTCAGTATTTTAGATACCAGAGAGTGTAGGCTGCTGCTGCTGTTATATAGAATGTAACGTCATCAACAGCAAGTCGGCCATCTTTAAAGGATACTACTGATTGCAACCTGTTGACTGACCTGTAATACTCCTCTGCTTCAGTGAAGAGCTTCTCTTTGTAAATACATGTATCTTTCGCATGTTGTTTATTAGGACGAGAAAAAGCTGATAAATATTGACTGCTGCTGCATTTGCTAGACTCTAGGGGTCGACCGATTTTCGGCCTGGCTGATTATCGAGGTCGATATTCCGCATTTTACAGATTATCGGTATCGGCCTTTTTTTTAAATCAAATTGCAGATACAACTTTGGCTCTGATGCGGCCGTTTCTCTGGCTGCAGTCACCACTGTTCACAAGCAATGTCCCACCCACAGCGCTATCTGATAGGCTATTACTGAAGTGTCAATCAACACTGAAGATTCTCCGGTCTGCAGCCAGACAGAGAGGCGGGACCTTCTCAGATTACAGGCAGGTGCGAAGAACGCAGACACAGACAAGCAGCAGCAGTGAGCGGCAGAGCCATACATGTATTTCGAAGGTAAATTGAAAGCCAAAGTTCAATAAACATCCCAATCCCCTATGCTGAAGTTGCAAAAACAACACGATCTTATGATCCAATTCTATCAGTTTCCCAGTTACAAAGGGACCGGGGGGGGCGGGTAGCGTCTCGCAGCGGAGAAACTGACGCGCTGGGACGACTGGGACTGTGATGGCTGCTAGTGGAGCCTCGCAGCAACTCTGCTTTCTGCACCACAATCTGGTGCTGCTGAATTGGGACTACTAAATGAGTGAGACTCAAATATCAGAAGTTCAGAACAAGTTTTAGTAGTTTTTATTTTATTTTTACTTCATTTACTTTACTCAGGGTCACAGAGAGGAAACCAGTTTTAAGATGTTGAAAAGTTCATTAAATATAAAAAGGCATTTCAAAGAAGTTGTGTTATTCTACATTTTGACACCAAGATTTTCTGACTTTACTGCAAATGTATATCGGTTCCAAATATCGGTTATTGGTCTACTTGATTACTAATAATCGGTATCGGTATCGGCCTTGACAAAGCCATATCGGTCGATTCCTACTAGACTATATCCTCCAAAATGGCCGCACCGCCCCATAATACACCTCTACTCCCATTCCCAAAGAATTTTAATTCTGTTTGGTTTCAGTTTAAGATCTATCACCCAAAAAATTAGGTTGATTATCATGGTTACATTTTAAATAGACATTCCTACTTGCATACATAACACATTCTGTAACGGCCCATTCTCACCCTTATCTAGGACATTAATAACCACTGATAGCCATTAGCCATTTATCCATTTAATGGACTCAAATGATATGAAATCAGATGGTATCACCAATGATGCTGTTTGTAAATTGAGTGTCTGTTTTCCCTTGTAGTCCCCCAGGAGGTGGTGGAGGTCGGGGATTGGGCTAAATGTGTCACACTGCCCTTCAAAACCAGAGCTCGACTGCCTGCAGATGCAACGGTGAAATGGAAACGTTTCGAGTTATCCAATTCCTCGACAGTTCATGTGTATCAGAATGGCCAAGACAAGTCTGAGGAGCAAGACGACTCTTACAGAGACCGCACAAAGATGATGAAAAACCCCCTGCAAGCTGGAGATCTCAGTCTGACCCTGATTAACCCCAGTCATGGAGATATCGGTGCATACACATGCACCGTTGAAAGTGACGGAGACGTCATATGGAAGAGATCGGTGAGGCTCAAGCTCAAAGGTCAGTACTGTAGATAAAGATCAGAGGTCTCTTTAACAGGAGGATGATGTCAGTGATCTTAATATTCCATTTGTTGTTTACAGCAAGACTTTGGGTTTTGGCTAACTGATGCATTTGTTCTCTTTGCAGCGATAGGGTTTTAAAGAAGAAAGGACCAAAGACGAACCAGATGGCGCCGTGAACAAGCAGCTTCTCTGAACCAGTGATATGTTCACTGTTGAATTTGTTCACTGATGTTAACGCTTCAGTATTGAATTCAAGTCTCTCCTTCCTTCTCTCTCTGCCTGCAGGTACTATGTGGTGTAAAAAATCTGACGTTAATGTTCAAAATGGTTTTGTGATTTCATAATTGTTTTAATAATGTACGTTTCTGGCTGTACCACATGCTCCCTTCTCACATGATCACCTTTACATTATCAATAAATAATCTGATGATATAATTGTTACCAGTCACGGGGAATCTTTTTTTAACTTTCCTGATAAAACCTGAGACACTAAGATTCATTAAAAAATGTTGGATCTCTTACTGCCTCTGTATCAGGTACAGCAAATGTTTTGTCTCTGTGTCCACTTAAAATCAATTCAAACATCATGACACAATTCCATCAGATTAATGATAAAAACCTAGAGGACATTAAACAACTTCTGAAATCCTCCTCCTGCTGCCTTGATATTATTCCAACAGGGTTTTTCAAAAATGTTTTTCCTTGCATGGCCTCAGATCTACTTCATATAGTAAACAAGTCTCTTCACTCAGGTATTTTTCCACAGGCCCTGAAAACTGCAGTCATTAAACCGCTCTTAAAAAAGCATAATCTAGATGCTTCAGTAATGAACAATTACAGGCCCATATCAAACCTCCCATTTCTAGGTAAAATCATTGAAAAAGTAGTCTTTCAACAGTTGAGTAATTTCTTGCATTTAAATAACTGTCTGGATGTGTTCCAGTCAGGCTTTCGTCCAAACCACAGCACTGAGACTGCTCTTGTAAAGGTCTTTAATGACATCCACTTAAACACAGACAGTGGCAGAACTTCAGTGTTAGTATTATTAGATCTCAGTGCTGCGTTTGACACTGTTGACCACAGCATATTACTCGACCGACTGGAAAACTGGGTGGGACTTTCGGAAACAGTTCTAAATTGGTTTGAATCCTACTTAAAGGACAGAAACAACTTTGTTTCTATAGGTAAATACACATCTGAGTTGACAAATATGACATGTGGGGTTCCTCAAGGCTCCATCTTGGGGCCTCTTCTCTTTAACATCTACATGCTACCAAGTTATTATGCTCCAAATATCTGGAACAAACTCCCAGAAACCTGCAGGTCCGCTGCAACTCTGACTACTTTTAAATCCAGGCTGAAGACTTTTCTTTTTGTCGCTGCTTTTAATTGAACTATTCATATCTTAGACTGCACTGTAACTTTTATCCATGTACTTTTTCTTTTAATGTTTATTTTATTAGCTTTTCTTTTTAATGACTGATTTTAAATGCCTTTTTCTTAATGTCTTTCATTTTTTGTAAAGCACTTTGAATTGTCTTGTGTTGAAAAGTGATATATAAATAAACTTGCCTTGCCTTGCCTTGCCTTACCACTGGCTCAGATAATGAAAAACAACAAAATAAGTTACCATAGCTATGCGGATGACACACAAATTTACATAACCATTTCACCAGGAGACTATGCTCCAATTCAAACACTGAGTAAGTGCATTGAACAAATCAATGACTGGATGTGTCAGAACTTTCTCCAATTAAACAGACAAAACTGAGGTAATGGTCTTTGGAGCCAAGTCAGAACGTATAAAAGTTAGCGCTGAGCTTCAGTCTGCAATGTTCAAAACAACAGATAAAGCCAGAAATCTAGGTGTAGTCATCATGATGCGTATTCACACCGCAGTACTTTTCCCACAAAGGTTCATGAGAACTTAGTTCATGAGAACTCTTTAGTAAGATGTGCAACTATATTTAACTTTTTGTTTTAAAACATTTTTTATCAATTATTATGGGAAGTGCCCTTTTTCTCACTTGAGCTCCTGCCCCCCAAAATGTCTGTGCACGTCCCTGGTGACAAGCATAAGTTTCACTTTCCTTTTTTATCTCAACCTCGGTCTGTTGTCCACGTTCATAAAGCATAAAACAACACCATCAGAGCGCGGTGCAAAGTATCTATATTCGTCCGCCGTTCTTATACATCCATGTAGTCCGCTGTATAGAAAACGGTAGTTTCCCCTCAGCAGCAGACGCACATTAATCACGCCCGCTGGCGAATGATAAATACGTCGGATAGTGAAATTGCAGTCGGATTCTCAAAGCGCCGCAGTCTCTTCTCCTAAATACTTTTGAATTCTTCTATCCACTATTCCTTAACCCCGTGACGTTTCACACAGAGGTCAAGGGATAAACGATAGGGTCTGATTTGTTGACTATTCGACTGCAGTCAATGAACCAACTTCCTTATTGCTCAGATGTTATACAATTCTGCTTGTTTTCCTTAACCTGATTCGTCCGATTCCTGCGACAGTCAACCGCGAGCCACTTTCAGTAAACTAAAAGTAACGCTTACTTTGTGGTCAGTTCATAAGAAGAAACGTGACGGAGAGAATCAGATTTTGGTTATTTCGTCATGAAGATGAAGGCGTTAGTGGGGTTTTTGACCCTCGTACACGGTATGATAACCTTCTTCTTTCTACTCTCATGTCTCCAGCTTTAGTTTCATGTAGCCTCGTAAATCAGCAGCTAAAACCAACGTTTTTATTTAAAATGAACACATTTCAAGGATGCTAAAATCTAATGTAATGATTTATTACAATTGAAATGTAGTTTGTGTTTTTGTTTGTGAGCGTCACTGCCTAGAAGCAATAATAGACATAGAAAATAGAAGCAGACACAAATCTATTCTCCTGTTTCATATGACCACTTCAATTGAATATGTAAAATGCATTTGCTAATACTTTACTTAGTGTCATTGTGAATGCTTACTTTACTTGTAACAGAGTATTTCTACAATGTTTTCTTTTATACTTTTATTTAAGTAAAATAATCTGATTAGTTCTACCGCCACCATCATTTGGTACCGTCTGCATGTTCCCTTTTTTGGGAGCAAGTTGTAAATTATTCTTATTTAAGTTTATTTAGATCACTTAGACATTTATCTATTTATCTAGTGTTGATACATTCTTAAATGCAAGTGTGTCTGAGTATTTGTAGGGTAAAAGGTTTCTCTTTATATAAATGTCTTTGTAAATATATTATAAACTTTATTATATAAATTTTTTTTGTGTGTGTAAACAAACAAGCAAATAAAATATATACTTTTATCATTTAAACATCCTTTTGTGTGTCCTTCAAGTTTCCCAGCAATCTTCAACTGTTCGTGTGAATGAGGGGGTGGAGTCTGTCCAGCTTCCCTGCCAAGACTCCACGGAAACTGAGGACAAAACAGTGGTGTGGCATCGATACGGTTCCAATCCCTCTATTGTCCACCAGCATCGACATGTGTTTCAGACTCTGTTTCAAAACCAGCATTACAGCGGCCGAACATCAATGTCAGATGATGCTCTGGAAACTGGAGACCTCAGCCTCACTCTGAAAGAACCCCACCACTCTGACAGTGGCGTCTACATCTGCCAAATGATCAGAAAGGGAGTGGAATTATTCCCCCGATACAAAGTGGAACTGCAGGTCATAGGTGAGGAACATCTCTACCCCGCCATTAAACATGCAGGTTGGGGGTAAGTGGAGGAAACATTATAACGTGCTTTAGGGTGTCCTTTCAGCAAAGAAAACATGATAAAGCTCCTCCTAACGCCTAATAGTGAAGAAAACATAATGAAGTGTCCTCTAGGATTCCCTATTAGTGGAGAAAACCAGTACCATGTAGGGTACCCATCCAGGAGAGAAAACCCAATAAAGGGTCTTCTACGCTGCCCTGTTGGTAGAGAAAAGGGTATAAAGTGCCCTTCCAGTGGATAAAACATAATGAAGTGCCCTGTAGGGAAACATTTAGTGTGAAAAACATGATACAATTCTCTCTAAGGTGGCATTAATGCAGTATAATTCAGGCTGTCCTACATGCTAGAAAGCTTGGTGCCCTACCACGTGCAGCTGGTGTCCTTGAATTGTTTTCACCCCAGCCCCTCCAACAGCCTCCAGCCTGTCACACATGCTGCCCGTTGGCCTTTACATTAATTGTTTGCTTCTACACTAATGCTCTGAACGCCAGATATAACCTTTTAAGTTGGTAAACCTGTCTATGCATATATGTGTAGGTATTTGTACATTGAATAGTTATATGTTTTTGACGTGCAAAGAAGTTATTTTAGATAATAAATACATCAATAATTGAGACATCATTTTGTGTGTCCTCCCAGTTCTCCAACATAACTCAACCATTGGAGTGTATGAGGGGGTGAAGTCTGTCCAGCTGCCCTGCCAGTCATCCTGGTTTCTTAGTAAGGACACAACAGTGGTGTGGAGTCGCATCGGTTTTAATCCCTCAACCGTCCACCAGCATCTTGACGAAAAGGAGCCCCGTTTTCAAAACCAGCATTACAGCGGCCGAACATCTACGCCAACTTATGCTCTGATAACTGGAGACTTCAGCCTCACTCTGAAAGAACCCCAACTCTCTGACAGCGGCGTCTACACCTGCCACGTCCATAACAATGAAAAGGAAATGTTAAGGCTAATTGTGCGCCTGCAGGTTACAGGTAAGGAAAAAAACCCTAACCCCCTTCTCTACTTATTACTTTATTAGAATACAAAAAAAGAGGTTTATACGTATAATATTGTTGCTGTTTGGTGTACAGTAAGAGAAAGTCATGTTGTTGATTATGTTGCCAACAGAACGGCCCATATTCCCTCCTGAGTTATGTCTTATGCTGGCTGTTTGCCTTGCTCTGGCTGTAGCTGCCTTGGGTTGGCACAAAACCATCACAGGTATGTAGTATGTTGTCACAGGACCTGTTAAGATCACAGTTTGTGTGTTCGTGCTGCTGATGCTGTGGTTTGTTGTCCTCTCAGTCTCTTCTGTAGTGGTGAAAGAGGGAGTGTGCTTGGTAAAACTTCCTTACAAAACCATAGTCCCTCTGCCTGAAGACGTCACCGTGGAGTGGAGTCGTTGCGCCCCCGAGCCAATGAGGGTCCACAAATATTGTAACGGCAACAACGATCTTATTAGACAGGATGAGTTTTATTGCAATCGCACAAAGATGCAGGAAGAGCCACTGAAAACCAAAGACCTCAGTCTGACCCTCAGGGACCCCTGCTACAGAGACAGTGGAACCTACACCTGCACCGTCCACAAGGACAGAGAAGCCGTGACACAGAAAGTAGTACGGCTCCGAGTCAATGGTCAGTATTTTAGATACCAGACAGTGTAGACTACAGCTGCTAGCATGTTATAGAGAATGTAACTTCATAAACAGCAAGTCGGCCATCTTTAAAGGAACCTGTTAACTGACCCGTATGCCTACAGTGAATTAGCATGAACTTGTTTTACTTTAACTTTTTTAACTTGGACGGTAAGAACTATCGTGTTTGCTGTAACAGCCAATCCCACAGCCATAGGCGCTTAATTCATTGATTAAATAATATTAATAATACTCTTCTGCTTCAGCGAAGAGCTTCTCTTTGTAAATATATTTATCTTTCGTGTGTAGTTTCTTCAAGAAAGAGAAAAAGCTGATAAATATTGACTGCTGCTGCATTTGCTAGACTCTATCCTCCAAAATGGCCGCACCGCCCCATAATACACCTCGACTCCCCTTCCCAAAGAGTTTTAATCCTGTTAGGTTTCAGTTTAAGATCTATCACCAAAACTAGGCGTTAAGAATTAGGTTGATTATCATGGTTACATTTTAAATAGACATTCCTACTTGCATACATACACTACCACACATTCTGTAACGGCCCATTCTCACCCTGGACATTAATAACCACTGATAGCCATTAGCCATTTAATGGACTCAAATGATATGAAATCAGATGATATCACCAATGATGCTGTTTGTAAATTGAGGGTCTGTTTTCCCTTGTAGTCCCCCAGGAGGTGGTGAAAGTCGGGGATTGGGCTAAATGTGTCACACTGCCCTTCAAAACCAGAGCTCGACTGCCTGCAGATGCGACGGTAAGATGGAAACGTTTCGAGTTATACAATTCCTGGACAGTTCATGTGTATCAGAATGGCCAAGACAAGTCTGAGGAGCAAGACGACTCTTACAGAGACCGCACAAAGATGATGAAAAACCCCCTGCAAGCTGGAGATCTCAGTCTGACCCTGATTAACCCCAGTCATGGAGATATCGGTGCATACACATGCACCGTTGAAAGGGACGGAGACGTCATATGGAAGAGATCGGTGAGGCTCAAGCTCAAAGGTCAGTACTGTAGATAAAGATTAGAGGTCTCTTTAACAGGAGGATGATGTCAGTGATCTTAATATTCCATTTGTTGTTTACAGCAAGACTTTGGGTTTTGGCTAACGGTACGTCCACACAGCAGCTTTAGACGAATCTTCCACCGCTTCCGACGCTTCTCTGCCCATTGACTTTGAATGGGGATGACGTCACTTTGCCTCGCTTTTCGCCGAACTGCATTGTGGGGGAGCGAAGCGAAGATTTCCAGGATTTCCAGGATTTCCAGGTTTCAAAAGTTGAGCAATGTTCAACTTTTGAAGCTGAGCTGGAAGCGTCAGCCAATCAAATCCCGTTTATGCAAATCTGACAGTAGAAGCGCTAGCCAATCAAACCGCGTGTAAGCAGGGAGAGCCAGACCGCAGTTCATTTCCTCATATTCCAAACGAGAAATTACGGTAGCAAATCACCCGGTTCTTTACGACCAGAACTATTAACGGGATACAAACCGGAGGAACCAGGCATGGAGGGAGGTGGCAGAGACAGTGGGTGAAACTGGTAGGTTTTCGCCTGTTTGGGGAGTTTATATATATATATATATATTGCTCGCATAAAATCCCCGGGGTTTTTTGCTTTGTATGTCGGGGGCGGGAGATTCATGTGATTGGTTGTTGGTCTCGTTGCTCGCAAAAAATCCCCAAGCTTTCAGACACGCCCTGCTCCAAGATTTTCAAGATTTTTGAAAAGCTGCAGTGTGGACGTACCGTAACTGATGCATTTGTTCTCTTTGCAGGGTTATGGTTTTAAGGAAGAAAGGACCGAAGACGAACCAGATGGCGCCGTGAACAAGCAGCTTCCCTGAACCAGTGATATGTTCACTGTTTAATTTGTTCACTGATGTTAACGCTTCATTACATTACATTACATTACATTGCATTTAGCTGACGCTTTTATCCAAAGCGACTTACAATAAGTACATTCGACCAGGAAGACACAACCTTGAAGAAAACAGAATCATATAAGTACATCAGGTTTCATAGAGCCAAACATTTCAAGTGCTACTCAACTGGCTTTAGGTAAGCCAGTCCTTTATTAGTATAAAAGTGCTTCGTTAATAGTTCTAACGCTCGAAGTGGAGTCGAAAGAGATGAGTTTTCAGTTTGCGCCGGAAGATGTGCAAGCTATCTGCTGTCCTGATGTCAATGGGGAGCTCATTCCACCATCTTGGAGCCAGGACAGCAAACCCACGTGTTTTCGTCGATGGGAACTTGGGTCCCCCTCGCAGCGAGGGCGCAACGAGTCGTTTGGCTGATGCAGAGCGTAGTGCACGCGCTGGGGTGTACGGTTTAACCATGTCCTGGATGTAGCTTCAGTATTGAATTCAAGTCTCTCCTTCCTTCTCTCTCTGCCTGCAGGTACTATGTGGTGTAAAAAGATCAGATGTTTTTGTGATTTCATAATTGTTTTAATAATGTACGTTTCTGGCTGTAGCACATGCTCCCTGCTCACATGATCACCTTTACATTATCAATAAATAAATAATTAAATAATCTGATAATATAATTGTCTACCAGTCACGGGGGATATTTCTTTAACTTTAACACTTTCCCGATAAAAGCTGAGGCACTAAGATTCATTAAAACACGTTGGATCTCTTACTGTACTGTAACTCTTGTGTATAATATTCAGAACTGAATTAGTCTGTTTTTTTACAAGCAATTTCTGGCAAAAACTTCTTGTCACTTGGTTATTATTTTAATATTTTTAAGTCCAGGATTTCAAACCATATTATTAAAACATATTAATAAGAACATCAATTCATTAATGATTAACAAAATAGGTTCTAAGCCAAACATGTAAAGACTCTTTTTACCCTGTGAAATATATGACAGTAGCATAATAGATGAATACCACAGGAGATACAAATGTCTTAAATTGCAGTAAGGTCCCTATAAACTGAAGGTAACATGCTGTACTACAGACTCACGAGTTCCCCTTTATAAATTAATATTAAAGTGAACCAGCAGAAAATGACAGTCAGATCGTGATCAATTTACTGAGTGCAATAAACAGACAATAAATAACAACATGTGTTCCCAGAGGGGAGGAATACTGTAAATAAAGGATGCTACACAGCAAAACTTTCAACCAATTTATATCATGACATGGGTACAGGCAATTTGACTTAAGTCTTACAGAAAATACTTGAATAACAGAGTAAACGCAGGTAAACAAGAAACTAAGAGAGCAGGGGGGTATACTACGAAGCAGGATTTTCGCTTAGCCGGCTAACTTCAGGGAAAACTCTGGCTTTCCGGTCCTACGAAGCTGGTTCTCTTTTTAGCAGGCTAGATCTCCATGGTAACTGATGCTTAGCGGCTAACCTGGTCGGGACCAGGTTAGGTTGCAGGCTAAGAGCTCAACTCAGTGAAAGCACCGCCTGCTGACCAATCAGAGCTCAGTGTGCGGAGTTTAAAGCGATCAAGTCATATTACAGGAGAAAGGAAATACAGAAAAGCTGCCGTCGCAGGAAAGACGGCCGGCAAAAATCACCGACTGTGTGAACGTGAACATTAATAGAATATCACCTCCCATCTTCAGAGCAATCTGACTATTATAACATTAGCGTTAAGAAAGCTTACTTAAATATCTGCCACAACATAAGTAACCGGATCAGAGTAACATTAAGTACAGGCATATCACTTCATAATGTAGGCCTATCACATATCTCCTGATCTGAGTCAGCTGAGCCGTATCTGGCCGTGCAACACTCACAGTGTCACAGACTGTATGCAGAAGTATTATTTTAAGCAACACATTAAGTTGACGAAACACTCGAGTCAAATGTATTAAAGTCAGATCGTGTTTTAGACGGGGCAGTGATATCATAAACCTGTTCATGTACGCATTCAAACACTTGTTCTGTTGCCAGCTGTATTCACCTTGCAGGTGCAGCTCTGTGGCTTTTATCCTGGATAAAGTGTTTAAGTCATGGATGTTTAAAGTTTAACTTCTTCATTTTTGACTAGTATTAAAGTTCACTTTTCATTCAGGAAGTATGACGCTGCGCTGTCAGTGCGCTTCTCCATGTTTGTGATTGGTCGAATGCTCCAGATACCACCCCTTTCATGTGAACGTGCACCTAACTAGATAGGACACGGCTGGCTTGAGCGATCCACTTGATAACCAGCGTCGTAGTACCGTTTAGCGAGAGCGCGTATGTTTTGGATTAGGCCAACCGGCTAACTCAAACATATCCAGGTTAGGTTGAACCAGCTTCGTAGTATAGGCCCCTGGCAAAGTAATACTAAACAAAAGATAAACAGCACAACTAAAGTAGACACAAAATGGGATGGCGGAAAACAGGCAGCGAGTCCAGAGGAAGAAACAGCCGAAAGGAAATATGGTAGATAGAAACATCGATAAAACATTGATGAGTAGAACCACGGTAAACATCAACACCCAGAAAAACTCTGGGAAAGAGAGGCGTATGTACACACAGAACTAATAACAAACAAAAGACAGGGCGGGAAAAACAATCACAAAAAGGGCGGGAAAACAAAGACAGAGTGAACAGTTATTTTACTTTGATCCCTCCTGGACTCAACAACCCATTTACAGCAGAATATAAGTGTTTTAAGAGATTCCACAGAGCCTCTCGCTGACCTCCCATAGTTTCTGGGCCACTGCGTCGTCCCGGGCCTTCAGGCACGTTTCCTGCACGGCGCAGCAGGCAAAGTAGCGCCCGCTCAGAGGTTCGATGCCCTCCTGGAGGCAGCAGTGCAGCGTGGTCTGAGCGCCGGCCTCCGGGTCCAGGAACAGCAGCCGGGCGATGGGCTCGATGAACACCTTCTGCCACAGACTGACGTGACGGGACAGCCCGGTGCGAACCACACCTGCAAGAGGAGAGACACACCTGAGCAGGGACGTGCACAGACATTGGGAGGGGCTATTGCTCTAAACTGGAAAAAGGGCCTCCCCCGGAAAAAAACATAAGACCTTTTTTTAATGTAAAAGGAACCAAATGATTATTACATCAACTAAATTGAACAGTAATTCACATCTCATAACAAAATAAGCTAAGGCGACTACTTGCATTCTGTGACTTAATTTCAAAAATGAAAATCAGGGAAAAATGTTGTTTTGCGGTCCATATCTCATTAAAATATCTAATGTTAGTAACTATTAAAGACAAAATGGGGACAATTCTGTTCCAATGTAGTTTGACCATTGTAACTGCTGTGCAGTCCAGACATACTGATAAAATAGGGCCTGGCACATAGGACGATGCTCTGACGTCATCGCCCTCGCTCATTTGTCATTTGTTTAAGCCATAATGTCAAAACATCTCTCATTCTTAATATAGACTTTATTTAGGGTAGATATTTGTTGACTTTAAAATTTAAAATAGCAGATCTCTGTGACAGGATATAGTTTTTCCGCTTAGTGAACGTGTGTCTCTGCTCCGATCAGGAACTGCTATGGAGTCAGATTTGGGTCAATATTCTAGCGCGTAAAACAAGCTACTCACGAGCGGAAAATGTGCTTTTACACGCGCATAAAATGACCCTCGCGCGCAGATTAATCCCCGCGATTGGCTCTGCGCCCGCGATTGGCTCTGCGCCCGCGATTGGCTCTGCGCCCGCGAGCGGCTCTGCGCTCGCTCGCGAGAGAGACAGCCCTCTTGCTCGCTCGCGGGAGTATCAGCCTTGCGGAGTCTGTCTACGCGCGCATGAAAAGTTTCTAGCACTTTGGGGCGGAGCCACTGGACTTTGATTGACAGCTGCCAGGAAACCCGGAGTTGCCAGGTTTGATAAATGCCTGAACTACCAAGAGCCGAGGAGTGACGGCAGCAAAATCAGTTGGACGAGATTGAATGGTAAAGTTGTCCATAAAAAACTATTATATTCGTAAAGTGTACAGCTAATATATATATATATATATATATATATATATATATATATATTAATTAATTAATTTTATATAAAACAATATATTTTTGAGTGGGCTGTATCTGTCGAAAATTGCATATATATATATATATATAAATTAATTTTATATAAAACAATATATTTTTGAGTGGGCTGTATCTGTCGAAAATTGCTGGGCTGTAGAAGGGATGTGTCAAAAATGACACAACATGTGTTGAATTTCAACACACCTACAGAGTGTGCTCAGGGACAACACGTGTTGTGTTTATTTATGTGTAAATCATTTTTACACACAAAATGTGTTACATGCCCCTAACACACAATGTGCACATTTTACACATTGTGTGTCATAAATGTGTAACCAAGATGAACACACTCATGTGTTATATCTGCACATTGTGTGTCAATGACGATTACTGAAAGTACCAGGTGGTGGATATGGTTTTTATTAAAAAAAATCGAATGCAAGAATACATTCATTGGACATTTATTTACAAGGATTTCATTAGCACAATATGTCATTAAGAAAATAATTGTTAACATTTAAAAATATTAATATTTTTCTAATTCATCAAATGTTGACAGAATAGATCATTCATAAAATCACACCTAAAAAAACCTTATACCTTGGTTAAAACAAACTTAATCTTCAGCAAACTATTGTTGTAAATGACTTTCAGCTGAGGGAATATAGTGATGAGATTCTTCACAAGGACCACCTTTTCAGTGTTGGATGGATAATTAAGGATAAAAATGAATGACAAGTGAGCTATTTATTTATTTATTTTCAAAAAGAATACAACAGTTCTAGCATACAAATATTACAAATGCGTGATAATAAAGCAATTGGTTATAAAGAATGTCCTTTTGTATCAAGCAAATAAAAAAACAATTTTTACAACCAATTATATTTATATATATATATATGCAATTTTTGACAGATACAGCCCACTCAAAAATATATTGTTTTATATAAAATTAATTTATATATATATATATATATATATATATATATATATATATATATATATATATATATATATAAGCTGTACACTTTACGAATATAATAGTTTTTTATGGACAACTTTACCATTCAATCTCGTCCAACTGATTTTGCTGCCGTCACTCCTCGGCTCTTGGTAGTTCAGGCATTTATCAAACCTGGCAACTCCGGGTTTCCTGGCAGCTGTCAATCAAAGTCCAGTGGCTCCGCCCCAAAGTGCCAGAAACGTTTCACCCGCGCGTAGACAGACTCCGCGAGGCTGATACTTATGGAAAGCCATTTGCGTCACAATTCGCGCGTTTATTCGCGCCGTAGTTTCGCGCGGATTAACGGGGAGGTCCGTTTATTCGCGCGAAACTACGCGCGAATAAACGGGGAGGTCCGTTTTATAAACGGGGAGGCCCGTTTTATAAACGGGGAGGTCCGTTTAAGTTCAAAGTCTCAGTAACCAATCAGTGAAGAGGAAAACCAGACCAAAGCAATCTGTAGATGAAAAGTTCCTGACATTGTGAGGCTGTAAATTGTACATTATTCCAGATTCAGGGGACTATGTATTAATTTGGCTTTCAATATAATAAATATATCAATCAATATAACCTGCCTTCATTGTCTTTTAAAATAAAATCGCCTTACCTTATCTTACTGAATGGTATTTATGTCTCCTTAAATCCTGTACTTCTTATAACATGGCATGGTGTAACATATCAGAATGTTCAGTCTCTGGTCTTGCTAGAAATGCAGTCACTCACCTTAGAGCACTGTCTTATGAGATACTTAGCTTAGAAATCAGATTTTTGGAATAAAATCGCCTTACCTTATCTTACTGAAGTGAAGGGTATTTATGTCTCCTTAAATCACCTTTTAAATGTACTTCTTATAACATGGCATGGTGTAAGATATCAAAAATGTTCAGTCTCTGGTCTTGCTAGAAATGCAATGTCACTCACCTTAGACTTAGAGCACTGTCTTATGAGATACTTAGCTTAGAAATCAGATTTTTGGAAAACTTAAAAACTCTTGTGAAAACACAGATGTACTCATGTCATCCATTTTTGTTGGTGTTTCAGATGTGGTTTACCAACGTTTTTGGTTCACAAACGTAGTGAAATATATGAATTACACTATATGCCTATACAAATGTGTTGTTCATGTCTAAAACGAAAATGTGTAAATTAGAATTTGGAGTAAAATAGTTCCATCACTCTACTTTCACCACAGAAAAGTTACATCAGGACTGATTCATGACTTCATATCCCATACTGAGGTTCATGTGATGTGTACAAATACAAATTGAGCATTACAACTTTTTTTTTCAACCAACTATTTATGTTAACATAAGAAACTGTAAAATCTCAATATTTACAATACAGGGTTCATACACTTTTTCACCAATGATTTTAAATGACTCTTTCATGTGGCTAGCATGCGCTGCCTCGCCCATATTCGAAATATTGAATATGTTACAACACAGTTTGCATTTAGCACGTCTTGGGTCAATGTCTTTTGATAACCACAATTGGTACTTATCCTTTAGAAGCCATACATTGTTGAAACTGCACTTCCCTGGCATCTTTATATCAAATAGTAGCTCCTGTAGACTAGAGGGCGTGATTGTAAACATCTCTCACCAGCGAAATACTGCCACAGTTGCCATTTTACGTTTCATTATACGATACAGTATTTATTATCATTATAGTATTACTATTTCGGTGATTAGATAACATATAAATTATATTTGATGCGACTTTAGTTATATTTCCATGACTTTTCCAAAAACTTTGGGAAAAATATTGCATTCCATGACTTTTCCAGGTTTTTAATGACTGTACGAACCCTGACAATATCAGAACTTTCTCAACCAACTATTCATTATAAATGTAAAGACAGGGGGAGCAGTGCCATGGTCTTTGTCTGTCTTCCAAGACAGTGGGTCTGGCTGCTGTGTAGGTGGGGGTGATGGTGCATGGGCTGCTGGTGGCTGTGTCGGAGGGAGGGAGGTGTGCTAGGCGAGACTTCTTTGCTGGCTGGGTTGATCGTGATGGCTGTGGTGGAGGCCTTTGTACCGAGGTGTATCTTAATCTTGTGGCAGGCACAGATGGAGGTGGAGGCTGCTGTAGTGATGCTGGTCCTCTGGTCCTTGATGGTGATGGCTCTGGTGAAGGCCCTTGAGCCACGGTAGATCTTGACCTGGGTGCAGGCACAGATGGAGGTTCTTGCTGCTAGGCGCAGGCAGCTGTGAAATCGGAAAGAAATATAGGACAATATTTACTACTAAGTTCATTAAAATATAAAGTTCAAGTGGAATGTTTCTCAAGCACAAATAACAATGCACAACTCAAAATAAAATGGGGAGGTGGGACAGGAGTCTCTCTCTCTTACAACCTATTTAACTAAACCCACACAATGAAAGTACACTTCTCTTCACGACACAGACACAGGTCGGTTCTTTAAAACGGGCGTTTACTTATTGGAGTTTTCATTTTGTAGCCTCCCCTCTTCCGTTACGCTCGTTTTAACTACAACAACGAATTACACATATACATAGCCAAACACATTAGCATAGTACACTACACATATATGAATGAAAATATATAAACATAAAACAAATACCTCGTTGGCTGCACGTCGCGAAAGGAGATTCATCTTTAAAGTTCCCTTTCCGAATAACCTTGTCAAAATTATAAATGTTTCAAAGACTTCAGCTGAGCTTCAAATAAAGACGTCAACCCATGTTGAGTTGTCCAGTGTATCAATAAAACACGCTGTACCAGTACATGAACAAACATTAGTTCCTAGGTACAACAAACAACAAAACTTACACATATTGGTGTAAAATACAAAACAAAACTGTATTAAATCATGCCATACCAAAACGATTACAACATTACATGAAATAACGTACCCATTTATTGAATTCAACTATGAAACCAATTGTGTTGTTCTTTTTGATTTAGGCACATTTGTTACGTCATATACAAAAATTAATATTAATGCCTTCATCCATTAAGTGTGACTGAAAAGGTTTAAGATTGTTTTTATGACTTTGTATACTGGGAAGCTTGTCTGATTTTTTAACAAATATTTTAGATATATTTTAAGCAGTGTGACAGATTTCCTAAAGGAAACACAGTAAACTTCTTTGCTGTCCAGGTAGCCCACCAGTTGCCGTCCTTGTTTTGATTTGGAAACAAAGATGGGAATCTGGATATCTTTGAATCTTTGAGGATTCAGAAAACACCTTTAGGACTTTTCTTTTTCTTTGGGTTTGTAAATGTAACACAAGGAGCTGCCCAGCAGATGTCGCCATTTATGACTGCAACAAATGCTTCGAAACCATGAACCAACTTCAACATTATACAATGGAACATTTGAACATCAATGTAAGTAAAAGTATTCTCATCTTCTTGTAATAAAAGTATCGGCAGTAAAAGTACAGAAGTATCCTCAGCTTTATGCTGTACTCATAGAACAGTAAAATGCGACTGATATCTGATTATATGCTACATTAATACATTGTTGATACCGAAGCATCCGATCAGAGCAGTTTGCTACTTGTGTAGCTGCTCCAGGTAATGTCGTTTTCAATACTTTATATAGAGTTTAGTCGGTCGAGCCCCTTCAAAGGGTCCCCAGATAAGTTAGGCTGGTTATTCTGTTCAATCTGTCTATTTATTTTTAGATCATTTTTATCTATTATCTCTTTGCTAGTCTGAAAGTTTACAACCCTAACCGTAACCCTAGGCAGACTGGAAATGGGGAGAGGTTAAGACGAGCATCAATAGGCACTCCTTTTTACTTTCTCTCTCATAGTTGCTCAGGTGTTATACAATTAAACTTGTTTTCCTTAACCTGATTTGTCACATTCCTGCGACAGTCAACTGCGAGCCACTTTCAGTAAACTAAAAGTACGGTTACTTTGTGATCAGTTTATAAGAAGAACAGTGACGGAGAGAATCAGATTTTGGTTATTTCGTCATGAAGATGAAGGCGTTAGTGGGGTTTTTGACCCTCGTACACGGTATGATTACCTTCTTCTTTCTACTCTCATGTCTCCAGCTTTAGTTTCATGTAGCCTCGTAAATCAGCAGCTAAAACCAAAGTTTTGATATAAAATGTATGCATTTCAAGGATGCTAAAATCTAATTTAATGATTTATTAAATTGAAATGTAGTTTTTGTTTGTAAGCATCACTGCCTAGAAACAATAATTGAAATAGAAAATAGAAGCAGAAGAATCCGTGTATCTACCGTCCAATTGTTTTTCTTCATAAACACGTAAACGGAAGAGCGTTCGAGAGGCCTTTTTGCTTTTGTTTTTTACCTTACTAAATGGTCTAATGCAGTGGTTCTCAACTGGTGGGTCGCGACCCAAAAGTGGGTCGCGGACCAGACCCGGCGGCAGACATACGTCTCTGGGCGGGCATTTGATTTACCAGGGCGGGCCCACCCCGAAATTTACATTTCCTGGGAAATCTCGAGATTTGTCCCTGGGGGGGGTAGGGGGGGTTAGGTTGCCATAAGGCTGTTGACGGTCTTATTATAGGCTACATCCATTGGTTGGTTTTGTGGCACATTTGTAACGCTGTGCCAACTTAAGCAAGCATGCAGGCAAACTTGAACGCACACAGGGTGGAAAGGTGGAGTAAGGTTGAGCAATGGAGAGAAAGGGAGAGAGAGAGAGATTGAGCGAGGCAGAGAGCATGTGCAGCGGTCTGCTTGCGCACAGAGCAGGAGTTTGTGAGAGAGCCGGCCTGAGAGTCAATTTCTCTTCAAAATATAATTGATTGCCAGCCTCCCTTGTCCCTGGCTGGCTTGCTAGCTCATTGGTAATGTAACTTATGTCTTCTAATGTGCCTGCATCTGGCGCTGAGTTGCCATATTCCTTTCAAGTGTATAAGTGTGAACCACCAATTTCATTCAGAATTTCATAGCAAAATAGAAAAAATGCTATTAAACTAATCTTTCAACATAGTTTAAAACAAAAATAAATATTAGGACAAAGCCCTACAAATAACAACAATAAACAATCAGTGGCGGCTCCAGAGTATTTTGGTTGAGTAATCTATGGTAGGGCTAACCCATACAGTGGTGGGGCTCAAGTCAGTATTTGCAATGTAATTACACGCTCCCCTTGACAGTGAAACGCCACGCGTGAGGTTTAGATTATTTCCCTGTCTCAATCCAAATTGAACTGTATGAAATAAAAAGGCACATTTGTCTTGTAGTAAATAAAAAGGGCGACCTGGACCCAATCCTGCAATTTCTCCACAGGTGAAAGAGTTGACATGCTGAAAACCCAACCCCTACAGGGGGGTCTGGGGGGATTCTCCCCCAGGAGATTTTTTGAAATACTAACATAAAATACACATTCTGGTACTCTCTTGAGAAGATAAATAAATACATCTATTACTACACGACATATTTAAAAAAATGAATGCCATTTTTGTTTTTTGTTACTTTGTTCTGAAAGCTGAACCATGCTGCTCCTCACAGAGAGAAGAGGGAAGAGGCTGTGAATGACTTTACATTGTGGATAAGGGTGGATAGCCCCCATTGTTCTGTGTGTCAAAATGAAAGACAGCCCACACACCTATCAATCATCAAACCGTGGGGTCTTATTTCATTACGTGTTGATTTCTATCAACACGTAATGTTGTATCGATGTATATAGAGATGTACTACAGCAAAAGTATTCTTCGTCGGGACTTCCTGCAACAACACCACGTCGTTATCGTGATTCTGATTGGCCAGAAGACATTATCAAAGATGTTCTATTGAGAAGACAATCACTATGTGACAAAAGTTTTCAAACCGTTTCTAGTCTTCGGTATTTACTGCTGTCTGTGCAGTTTACTCCGCGCGAGTTGGCGGACTTTATTTTGCTTACTTTAAAATCATTTTTCATGGTGGGGCTAAGCCATTTCTTGGTATGGCTGTAGCCTACCCCAGTATACCCTGGCGCCGCCACTGAACATAATAATAAAACAATTAAAATGTTGTATTCAGCCCTGATTAAAACAGCGGGCCCAAATCCTGAATGGGCGGGCCCAAATCCTGGATGGGCGGGCCCGGCCCCATGGGGCGCGCCGCCCATGACGCCGGGTCTGTCGCGGACCCGTTTCGAGTGGGTCGCGGATGTGTGAGTGAAAAAAATAAATTTGAATTTCTTTTTTTTGGGGGGGAAAAGTCAAACTTTTATTTTGAAGGCCCGATTTTCTAACGCTGTGCATGCAGTCGGCGTTGGACTGGAAGTACCGGAGACCATAAACGGTTTTGAAAACTTCTGTCACATAGTGATCATCTTCTCAATAAAATATCTTTGCTGATGTTTTTCGAGTCTTCTGGCCAATCAGAATCAAGATTGTTGCCGGAAGTCCCCACGGAGAATAACTTTGCGGTAGAACTCTTCTTTATACATCCATGGTTACAACTTCAGATATAAATCAACACATAATGAAATATGACCCCCGGTTTGATGACTGACAGGTCACAGAACAATGGGAGCTATCTACCCTTACCCACAATTTAAAGTAAGTCACACAGACTCTCTCCTCTTTACTCTTCTCGCAGCAAGATGTCAGAACTAAGTGAAAAACAAACAATGGCATACAATATTATTAATATGTCGGGTAGTAATAGATTTATTTATTTCTTCTCAGTGTACCAGAATGCATAGTTGATGTTAGTATTTCTAAAAATCTCCTGGGGGAGAATCTGATGTCCCCCTGCTGGGGTTGGGTTTTCAGCATGTGTGCCTTTTTATATAGTTCAGCTTTGATTCCATCATCTCATTAAACCTTTTTTAAAAGCATACTTTAGTTCTGTGAAGGGATATAAGCACTGTATTTCACTTTTATTAATATTGTATGCTGAAAAGCGTATCCAGCACGATTTTTTGTTGAATAGATTTGAGTTCTTCAAAATGTTGGGTCGCGATGTATTGACCAAGTAAAAAGTGGGTCCCGAGGCCTGACCTGAGAACCACTGATCTAATGGTCATTGGAGCGAGGGGCGGGGCGAAACTCACGGAAGTGATTTCAAAACAAAAGCACTCGTTTGCTTGGAACGGTGATAATATTATAAACAAAGGGAAACAAGGTGAATTTAGCAATCACAACGAAAACGGCCATGACACACATTGAGTCCAGACAATGCATGTTATTAAGGGCTGTAAATATAATAAGCCTGTGTCTAAAATGGACAACATTGTTAGGAGATTAAACTATACAGCGGTTCTATTTCGTATAAGGCTTCGCCCTCTAAGGCTATCGCTATTGGGTAATCCCACTGCACGTGTGCAGCACTGACAGACTTAATCCACGCCCACCTATGACGTGGGCCCCACCTTCGGCCTCCCTTCCGTATAAATAGGAAGTAGGCCCGTCCAACCAGTGTTGCCAACTTGGCGATTTTCTCGTTAAATTTGGCGGATTTCCAAACCCTCCGGCGACTTATTCGTGTCAAAAGCGACTAACGACTAATCTAGCGATTTATAATGGTGTTATTAGCGACTTTTCTGGTGTTTGGAGACTCACATTGTTCTGCAGTTAACGAGCCGCGGGTGCTGCCGTGAGCCCCGCCTCCCTCCCATAGTACTCACAGGCGCTCAGACTGATAGTTGCCTGGCCGCAGCAGAGCTGCTGCTGCAGTCAGAGCAGAGAGGAGACAACCACACTCCCCCGCGTCGAGACTGCAAATGAATTGCGCATGCGCCAACTGCCAAGCCGTCCTGGTTTTGAGCGGGATTTAAATGTTGAATGTAAATGTTTCTTCACTCACTTTCACACTATAATAAATAACTGCCTTTGCTTTGCTTTGCCTCACACAGCCTCAGTCACTCAATCACCTCGTCCACTGTGTGTGTGCCTCTCTGTGACAAGCTAAACATCATGGCACAGTCTAAATTGTATTCTCAAAAATACAGAAAGGAGTGGGAATCAAACCCTGAGTATAAAGGATGGTTGAAGCCATTTATTGGAGATGACACACGGGCATACTGCCTTTATTGTAAGGGGGATTTCTATGCCAAACTGTCATGTTAAAACCCCAAAACATACTCAAAAGGCAAAGACATTTCTGATCTACTGTCGTCTGGATTTAACTCCGGTGGTTTCAAGTTTTGATCCTTGAAGGGTTGGGAACGTTTTTTGCCTACAGCCGCCATTACATGATATGCAAGTTAGGCGATGACGTAATTTAGCGACTTCTGGCGACTTTTCGGATAGCCAATAGCTACTTTCCTTACTATGGAGTTGGCAACACTGCGTCCAACTGCTCCCACTTTTCTTCAGCACTCCGTAGTAGCAGAAGCACTTTAGCAGGCACATTAGAAAACAAAGATTCCTCCCGTAAAACGCTTTGTTTCTAGTGGAAAGATGGAGATGGGGCAGGTAAGTCAGGGCCGCGTCCGGAATTGCCTTTCATGTGGGACGGGCTAATGAGTTTTGACAAACACTCACAGTGTGAGTCCTGCTTGGGGATAGAGCATGCGAGAGCTGCTCTAGCCCCACAGGTGTCATGCTCATTATGTGCCCGGCTCCCTCTGGCCCTCAGACAGCAGAGAGCGGACGCTCTCGCTGCCGCTGAGGTTGAGGATGACTGGATAATTCAGGAGGATTACTCCGTGGACGAGTCCCTAGATTTCCTGGGTCCGAGTGGAGGGCACGAGTCGGATGACTACGCCCCCTCCATTCATGGATCACCAGGTGGTTCCCCCATCATCTCCCTCCTCCGGACGGAGGAGGCAGAGTTGGGGCCCGGTCTAGGTCCGGCACACGGACCAGTGGTCTCTTGTTCCGCCACCACGGCTCTGCCGTCGATTGGCGGAATTCTCCAGGAGCTTCCGGGGATTATCGCTAAGGCAGCCGCCTGGCGAGATCTCCCCGTTCCCCCAGCTCAGGTGAGCACGTATTTGGATGACATGTCCGGGGTGTTCTCCCGGGATCAGAGGGTCAAGAGTGATCCGATCTGGCCACGCTTTCCGCCCATCCGGAAATACCAGGAGGGAGCGGCAGCGAAC